TCCTTCACTTTTGGGGAAGAAGAGTGTCCTGGATTCGTCCGTGAGGTTTGCGGAGGTCAACACATGCACTGTTCCTGGGATCTCCGGAGCACTGCCGGCCTTTCCCAACAGTGTCCTGGGACTCCCCATGACAGATGTCAGACTTCCCACTAACACCTTCAAAAGAGTGGTTGATTCCCGCAGAGTTGAGTGACTGAATCCCAGGCTGGGGTGATTTCAGCGGCTCACTTCTGAAAATTTCAAGAGCATTCTCAGGTATGGGTTTTGGAGGTACCCACTGAACAAGGGGTATATAACGCCTTACAAGCTTATATTGGTGGTACGTAAGCCTCCATACCCCCAAACACCGTGCCTGACAAAACCTTGAATACTTGCTTCTGGGGAAAGCCCCTAACCAGGTTTTACAGGGTTCATGACATTAAGCGTCAAGTCTTGTCGCTGGGTCCGGGGTGTGCAGATCAACGCGTAGATTCTTACGCGAATTTCGCACACAGAGCGCGTGCTTTGCGAGTAAAAAGGCAAGCTTGTCTGGAAAACACAGGGCAACCAATCTTTTGGACCTGGTCCGCCTTTGCCAACATCCCTGCCCCGACCGCATGAAGATCCTTTGGGACAATTTTCGATATAGGGGACCTTGCCCCCATGTTTTCCCAGCAAAAAATGAAGCGCCCCCCCCCCCCCCCAATATATGCATAACAAACCAACCCCCCCGCTCATGTGCGTTTCCTAAAACAAGGACATGGACACCCACAATTGCTTGGTTTCCATTTGGTTTACCCATAAAATCCTTTACACCATATCCAAAGGGGGCTCCGATTTGAAAACATCCACATGGGCATTTCCTGGCAGATTGCTTGTTGGGATCGCCTGAAGTGAAAGAGCAACGTGAAGCACGTCTTTGGGAACAAGGGGATGGAAAAAAATGTCTCAAAACATGGGAACCCCCAAATGGTGAGTTTCCTGTCGGATTCCCTTAAACCAACATGAAAATGGCACCCTCAAAAACGACGAGCCGCACAAGCCCCGTCTTCACCAATGGCCAAGTTCCTGCGTCTTTCTTAGGCAAAACTGTCTGATCCCGTCTAAAATTTGCCCAAAGCACTTTCCAGCAGCATCCCCAAAAGTCCACAAGGAACTGACTTGGCCAAAAGTATCGTTGGCCTTGATTGCGTCATTTGAAGCCTGGGTTGGGCTCGTTTGACTTGAGCCGCTTAAGGCACAGGATACGGCGCAGTTAGCCCGTGGCCAAACGGTTGGTAACCATGTTGAACTTCCGCCGTTCGCCCAATGAAGTCCAACACTTGCTGTCGAGCTGCTGCTGCTGCCTTGGTGCGAAGTGACTTGGGTAAGCTGATTAGAAGAGCAAGGGATTTGTTGTGGGAGGGTACCCAACCGATTCTTGCGTCCCTAGTCTCTTGGGTGCCTGGTATGGCTAGGAGAGTTCATGCAAAAGGAAGCACCTCCCTGGCCCAAACGTACTGTGAATGGGAAACATCTTAGATCGGCTGCCACTAAGTGTATCTAATTGTACCTCAATCAGGGTGCAAGGTTCCTTTTGGCCAGCGCCCAGCCGTTTTCTCATACTGGACTGTCCTCAGACCCCCTGCTAAAAGCTTCACTTTTAGAGGGTTGAATAGAAACCGCCAATCAACCGTAAAAGCTTATGGAGATGACTGGGATTGCAAGTTGATAAGCCTCTGCCGGCCCAAATGCAAAGCAAGCTGCAAGCATTGAATGGTTCTGGGTTCTCTCTGGCGCCATGGAAACCGTCAACATCCGTATCGAAACTGCCCAACAGCCTGATCTTTTTTTGGGGCCAGTCAGCTTCTATGTTAGTGGATGCTCCAAGCTTTGCAGTTGGCTTGCTGGCAAAACTTAGGACATACGCGACCTCGCTCCATCGCTCCCTCTCCTCCCCCGCCCTCTCTGTGCCCCTGGCTCTGTCTCTATGTTTTTGTCTCCGTCGCTCTCTCTCTCTCTCTCTCTCCCACTCTCCCTCTCAAATAGTTCTGACGGAACCCCAGTTAGCCGTTGCGCATCCCCGGTAAATAGACAAATGAAATGCGAGACAAACGTGGCGCAACAAATAGCTGATATGGTTGGACTTCGTCTTCACCTTGATGATTAATTCTACAGCACAGAATGTATTTTAGTAGCAGCAGTAGCAGCAGCAGTACCAAGAGGCCAGATTTTTGACAACCCAACTGCCGAGAAGCCAAACGCACGCAAAGTCCAGGACCTTCAACGCGCCCTCGGAGACCTGAAGCTCCCTGGCTCTGCCCTGACACGCAGGCGTGTGTGGCGTGTCGGCGCTTTTTGAGGCTAGGGAAACTAGTCCTCCAGTAGAGGTGCTAGAATAAGGGTAGCCTTTTTTCTGTAATCTATCTTAGCAGGGGAACCCTCCACCAAAAAAGCTGGTAAAAGTTGGCACTACTGGGCAACCTAGGAAACCAAAAGGAAATTGCCATGTTTGGACTTTGGGTATCCAAATCCCCAGTTCGGCACATGGCCAGGTAGTGCTCGGGTGTTCCCGATACGGTGAGTGCACTGAGTCGTGCCAAGCCAACCACGCTCGACCACAACACCATGGTCAATTACAGCAAAGTATGGCGCCATTGTTCCCCTACTTGCAATGTTGGGTCTGTCTCTAAAAAGGGGGCCCTCACAATGTGGTTTCCCTTTCATTCCCCTTTAAGAAACAGGACACACTTATTGAGTCAACCCATAATCCGCAAGCCGCATAATCTAATCCGCAGACCGCACAACCCGCAATCCGCTAATCATTGGGGATTAGGTTTTGAACAAGCTAGAATATGCTTATGGTTGACTTCCCAGAACAAGCAGGATTTTTATTGGCGGGCTCCCTTGGGGGCCTAGACATTCTTCCTACAGTTTAAAGGAAACCCCAAAAAATAAGTCGGAATTTTTGGATTGCCACTGAAATGGTTCAAACCCGCTAAAGTGACTAAAGTCCGAAACGGAACTTTGAGAGGTTTTACTACAATCCCCATCGAGCTAGGTAGCGGAAGCAGCTAAAACTGTTCATAGGAGTACTGGGCACTGCTCATGTGACATTTCCCCTTTGAAACATAACACCCCACCCAACACAAAAAAGGCACACATATTTTGGGAACTCGGTCCATTGAAGCCACCCGTTCAGCCCGAATCCACACTACCCGTCGCCTCCATCGCCGGATTGATGTGCATCAGCGAGGTGTGCATGCTTGTGTCCACCACCTGAAAACAAACAAACAAACAAACAACCAAACAAAAACAACCAACCAAACAAACACAAACAAACACACAAACAAACACACAAGCAAACAATCACGAGATGGGCCGCGATTTTTTGAGGGCACTGTTTTCAGGTTGGTTTAAAGGGAATCCAAAGAACACCACCCATTTTGGGGGTCCAAATCCCTTTCACACATATCGAGATGGGTATGAACTTTAATTGGGGGCCGTTTGGTGGAGATCATTTTCGTGGGGATTTATTTCCAGCAACCATTTTGAACGTATTCCCTACTCAAGTTCACGGTCGGAGGGCCCTGAGACGCTTGATCGATCACTAAACCGAATCCTGAGTGAGCACGGTCCATGGAGCGGCCCTGAAATTCACTGATTCCTTGAACATTGGCCCAAGGACTTAGTCACCGGGATTCTGTTGGGACAGAAAGTGGTACCATGATAGGTTCCCAAACCCCTCAAAGGCAAACCAATGGGTTGTTTAAGCAGTGGGTGTAAGCATGTTAAACTTGGGATTGGCCCAGGCTTTAGGGTATCCCTCTAGGGACTAAGCTGCCCAGAAAGTGGGAGCCCCCCATTTTTTTCAGCATCACCGCAGAAACGATCAAAGGGCCTTTGGTTTTGAGTTTGGTTTGTCATTTCAACCCACTTAGTTGCAGTTGCGCAAAGGACCCAGAGCTAGGCCATATAACCGTTTGGGGCCATGACTAAACATGGACCAAATCAGGAAAGCCCAAAGGCCAAAGGGTCCTCTTTGGGCAAGTGATAGGAAAGAACGAGGAGTATAATTCAAACTCACCTCCCACTTGTGAGTTCTTTATCACAATCACCGCACCAAAGGGAAACTTAACCAATACGGGCAACCAACAGTGATGTTTACACCACCCAAGAAAGGACACATATAGGTTCAACGGATCCAAATCCAAACATACTTTAAGGACACTTGCCGGTTTCATGCCGGCTCCTTAAAAGAACACCAAGGTGTCATGCTTGTCCCTTTCAACACCAGCACACGCTTTCCCCCTCGTCCCCTCCCGAAGGGGGAAAAAACAACACTGATTTTGACACGTGGCCTTGTTTTGTTGGGTCCCTTAGTGGATGCAAGGGTGCCACCTCGTATCGTTTCCTGAATAAACCATCACCCCAGTGTTAGAAGATCGTGCGTGCCATTGTTCACAGACCCGTGTACTTGGGGCTGGTACCAACTTCCTGACAGGTTGGGGGCCAGACAAGTACTGTAGTTGCCGGGAGGCGTTCCAGAACACTGGCGATGCCTGCTTTTCGTTGATGCGCAAGTAGCAAAACTGAGCTGAACACATCAATCGCCTAGTTCAATTGAGCAAGCGCGCTTTAACTCATGCAAACAGTATCAGAATCTTCTTTCTGGCCATATGGGGGGATTCTCAACCACCAAATCCCGCCCCTTTGATTAAACATAGCCCACAACTGGGCTGTCCTCAGATCCCCTGCTACAAGTTTGACTTTTAGTGGGTTAAATGGGAACCCACACTAAACCAACTAAAAACACCTAAAAACCTAAGGAACCAAGCTCAGGGCACGTGAGACATACAGGAGGGGTCACCAGAAATAGCCCATCGGCATATGAGTCTCTCTCCCAAAACAAGTGGACGCCTTGCTGAATTTGAAGGGCAACCAAAAGGAGCTCAACTAGCTGGAAGGATGCCCCCTTTGGTTGGACATGGCACATATTTCGGCCGATTTCGCCGGACAAGGATCCCCGTGTACCTTTTGGGGCCGCCTGCCGAGATCAAGGTCATTCGGAACTGAGCCTTGGCCAGAAGGCCAAAAAGCTGGAAAAAAAATCCCAAGGTGACCTCCGTCGATTTCGCTTTACCCGGGCAGAACTCCACGTCGACCTCGGTGCCTCCAGAATGCCCCACTCAATGCACTGGTGCAGGATGGAGCTGGGATCCTGCGCCCACCAAGAAGTGCCGAACGAACATCCAAAGGGCCAGGTGGACCGGTGCTCCCATTCGGCCCTTATCGAACGCTCCAAGGAAAGGAAGTGACTTGAGGACCCTGGGCTGTCATGGGGCCCCCCGTTCCAGGACTGTTTCAGACTGCGCGGTTTCGTACTGGCATCGACTTGGAAAGAGGGACCCCCATTGATTGGCAGAAGTGCTCAAGTGATGCAATTTCCGAGTAAGAACTTTTTAAAGGGAAGGCGCCCTTGTTTTTGAGAAACCTAATCATCAAAACCCTGGATTGTTTTCAAAAAGAGACCTTCTGAAGGGAACCTCTTCGAGACCTTAATAATAGAAGCTTTGACACGCAAGGCAACCCTTTGGTTCGAGAGCAAAAGCGCTCAGAACACACCTTTTGAGCAAGACCAGAGTGTCCCCCTCTGTAGAGTTTCGCTGAGTGGATGTGATTTTGGCAGAGTTTGGTATTGGTTTAGTATTGGGTAATCAAAAGAATGTTGGCAATTTTTGGGTTCGGCTGAAGAAGGGAAGAAGGGATTAACTTTTCGTGGGTGAAATGGAAACCCAACCACCGAGTCGCTGGTTGAACCGCCAAGGACCCCCAAAGTTGTTGTGCCTCAAAACGGGCGACTCGTCGCTTCTCCTCCGCGTTGTACTTGGCCAACTCCTCCCGCAGGAACGGCTCCTCCCGCTGCTCCAAGTCCTCACGGGAGCGCTCGAAACTCGCCCGCGCGCGCCAGTTTGACCCGTTTGGGGATGGGGAAACACACGCCCGAAACCCCTTGCAAACCTATCAAATAAAAGGGTGGCTTGAAAGGGAAACCAACAAGAACATCCAAGCCAGTTCGGGGGGTAATTACCCTCAAAGACACGCCCTTTAAGTCTGGTCTCCATGTCGTGAACGACGCCAACATTCAGATGCCAAACAAGATCACTACACCAGCCGGTCCCTTGGGAGGACAAATGACCATTTGTTTTAGGGAACCCCCAAGAAGGGCTGCTTTCCTTTGGTGTTTTCTTCACAACGTTGAACTCTTTTGGGTGCTATCAACGAAAGGGGTAAGCGGACCCCTCTAACGGCTTCCTCGTTCGTGTCCCTTGAAACGCAAGCCACAAGATTTGGGTCTCTGAGGGCCAAGGACCTGGCTTGCCATACGGCTGACTTGTGATATTCAAGAACTGGTGGGTCAAAATAGGGGAACCCCAAATGGGTTGCCCTGGTGTAGAACAAGGACTAAAACCTGCGGTCCGCTGGTAGTTAATTTTGACCCATACGCACTGATCCCTCCTTTGGCCCAATGATTGTTGGGGGTCATACCCAAGTGATGGGCTTCACACCTCCAACCGACTCGAGCTCCTTATGGAGTTCCGCTTTTGTTTCTTTTGAGCTAGTGGGTTTCACGATACCCAGCATGCCGCGTGGATATCCGCACCCTTCCATGGCTGGGACTGTCTTTTGAAAACACAACTAACCTTCATAGGATCACAACCTCCCCTCTCCCCTAGCCCACTCCCTCTTTGTGCTGCACATCATGTCAGACTGGGTGGTAACAAGGAGTGTGAAACAATTAAACCAAGTTAACCACTTATGGTTTCACGTACTGCCCTGCAAATTGACAAATTGACATTGAACCTGAAAGGGGGTAGACTGTTGTAGACATGATGTTCTTTTGGGTTCTATGCTACTTGATCGGCAGCGGAGTATGATGATTCTGTAAAACATGTGCGATGCGACATTCAGCAAAGGCAAGCCGAACTCAGCTTCATAGTTTGCAGTTGCCTCACTTGCCAACGGGAATATCAAGCGTGACTTTCGTGGCCCGCATACTTCACTCAGGAAGGGCGCGAGGCCCTCAGGGCCTACACATCAGGATTTCTTCAAGTGAGTTCCTGTCAACGCCCAAAGGCAGGAAAAGGAGGTCCTGCCAAAAATGAAACTCATCCAATTTGCAGGAGAGAAACCACAAAAAGCGCACAAAAACAGAGGGATAGAGCAAATCTATACAACGTGTAAGATATTAGCTATGCATTCTAAGGCATGGTTACCTTGTCCATGCGGACAGCTATGTGGGTGTGGGGTCTATGGAGTTCCATACCATCAGTCAGCGCAGCCCAGGATAAGGCCTCCAGAATACCTTCTGAAGTGGCCCACATACAAAGAGAGAAAAATCCATACTTGGTTGTTTCCCCGAGCACGTTTTTTCCAGAAAGTTCAAAGCCTGGAAACTGCGTGTGTGTGTGAGATAAGATTTTACGCTTGCAAATAAGTCATCAAGTGAGTCCTCAAGTAGGGAAGCTTCATCATGAGCTCGTTTTACCCCGGATCAGTGAGCTCGTTGTAATTGTGCCAATGCCATGCACCTCCTCCCCTAAAGCCCCCGAACGGGTTGATTGAAACCTGAAACAAGCCAGCCTTCAAAACATCCGCAGTGAGGAAGGTGACAATGGTCTCGCCTTCCTGCCAATGCCAAATCCCTGGTGAGTGAAGGCTCGTTGTGCGGACATGTGTCAAAAAAGGACACCGCAATTCCTGTTAATGTCCCTTTCAACCAACCTGAAAAAGGTATCCCGAAACAAACACGCGCACACATACACACACACACACACACACATGCGGGTCTTCAGCTTTCATGTTAATGCTCAGATTTTATGTTGGCTTTTCGCTGTCATGTCGGTCTTCAGCACTCAAAAGGTTAGCAAGTTGAATTTTTGTTGGAGCCAGAAGGTCGGGGCTCATCAATCCAGTTCTAATTTGAGCTCTCAACTAGAAATAGGGCGTCCTTCGGCCACCACAAAACAAACAACCAACTCCTTTCGCAAAGGAAGGCAAGCATCAACTGGATTGGTTTTAAGCATTTGAATGGAGGGAGGCTCCAGTACACAAGTCGGAACCATCCAATTCCGGGCTGGTGGAATTTTGAACCACTCAACGTCATGGTTGACAACCAGAACCACCCGCGGGTTCCTTTCTTGAAATCCTCATGTACTACAACCCATGAGCCAAAAAAGGAATGGTGTTCTACGAGTCATGTGCAGGCCCTATTATTTTAAGAGTATCAAAGTCACTCCCCTAAATGGCAGGTCAAAGGGAAGCCACCCTAGTTTCTAACATTGACAATCACCAGGAGCGGTCAACACAATGACCAACCCTTCTGTCTGCCCACTCCCCACATGAAGCAAACAACTGTAGAATAGCTCTGCCGATAAGGAAGCCCCCAACCCAGCAAACACGACCATGAAGCTTGATGTCAAGAGCAGGATGGATGATTGGATGCTGCTGTTGCGCATTCCAGGGCTCAAACGTTCTCGCCAACAAGCTTCTCCATATTATCCCCTTACAACCAAGAACAAGCTCACTAGTTGGCATTGAAGAACACACACAACAAGAACAACGATTGTGCCCAAAAGCAAACTGAAATGGCACGAGTGATGCTCAACAAGTCCAGGGGGAAACATGGAGGGCGATTCAAATTGGCTAATCCGCAACACACCCAACCAGACCTCAAGCGAATCTCCGTGGTTTTGGGGTCCCAACTGGGGTCTTCGATTCGCCAAGTTAGTAAGGTTGTTGACCCAGGTTACAACCCACTTATAAGTTACTTTCAGTGGGGTTAACACTGTAAGTGGGTTGTAACCCAAGTTGGCAACCACCTAACTAACTTGGCCAATCGAGTTCTCCCACAAACCAAGCCCTCTGAAGGTCTTACTTGGGCTCCCTCCCTCCTCCCCCCCCCCAGCTGATTTTGGAGTCCCGGGGATCGGATGGCCTGCACTGGGTGGACCCAGTACGGCAGCTCCTTGGCGCTCCCTTCCGGCGGGTTGCACTTCCTCGGCGTGAAACACCAACGCCAAGCCAAGGCCAGGGCTTTGGATCAGCTTTCATGGCTTCCTGAAAAGAAGGATCCCTGGAAAGAATGGGGAAGGTCCCCCAGGATCTTTGGTTGGGGTTCTCCAAAGAGTTTTCCCAAGGATTCCCCAGGATGAAACTACCAAACAACAATCAGCCCAGGTTTCCTAGGTCGAAACCACGATTGCCTGCTGGCCCTGCTGAGTGTTTACAAACATCCCAAAGCAACAAATAGGTTTCTGGGTTGGCAGCTGAAGGAGCAACATCTAAAATGGTGGGTGCTCAATATCCCCAAAACCACTTCCAGGGGAATTGTGGCATATACCCTTTATATACAGTGGCCATGAATTAGTGGCTGTATATCCCATTCAACCTCTGCGGGTAGCGGTTTGGGGGTAGTGGAAACAATCTTAGCCAACTGGTTGTGATCAAGCTTTGGTATGGAGAAGCCACAAACTATTGGTGTGGGGAATTTTCTCAAACCAATGCAACCCTTCAAAGGGTGAGTTCAAGAGGCTTCTGAAGCTTCATCCTGGGATCAAACAATAATCCGAAACAACATTGGGAGGGAGGTCTGAAATTGCGGGGATCGCTGCCATCAACAAGCGAGGACATCCGATGTTCTTGTTTGCCATTGTTAGGCGCCCAAGCAACAGCGTGGCTCCAAATTGAGTACCCAGAGGACAGCTGATTTTGTTGTTCTGCAAACTGGGGGTTGCGGTCAATTTTGTACCATTTGGTAAATGGCATTTTTCCCACTTGAAGCTGGTGTTTCCAAAGGTTTCATCCATCTCAACTGCAGGATTTCGTCCACCCACAGTAGTTCTGAGCCACAAAAACGCCCAAACAATTTGAGACCTCGCCGAAGGGCATGTGCCCGCTGGAGACCAGGTTCAAGAGGCCCACGAAGCGCCAGATCCCGTCCTACTGAAAAAGGAAAAACCAGTTGCGGCTTCGGAAGCCGGTGGCCAATGCGGGGCCAGGCGCCCCTCGAAGGCGCCAACACGTTGAAGTCTGCTGGTTGATCAGTGGAGGGGTCCCAAAATCGACCAAATGATCAGCAAAACATGGTTGCGGAAAGTGACTTATCTGTGATTCATTGCCATGACTACGTTGTCACTTGAAAGGGGGGTCCTGTGGTATCACAAAAAGTGGCCTTACTTCCAAGTTTACCGCGACCATGCATTGATTGGCCGAGCGAGGCGAGGCAGATGCACCGACCCTCCTCGCGCAGCAGCATTTGATGTGCCGCACCAACGTCCAGAAACCTTGATCGAGGTCGCGCCGCAAGGCTGACATCAAATTGCCTGGAAAAAGAAAAGGAACTCTTTCATCGGGGTTTCCTAGACTCACTCCCTGAGTGGGTTGGCCAAGAGAAGTCCAAACTTTTTGTTTGCCACTTAAATGGCTTTACCACAAAGGTTAAAGTCCACCAACTCAGGAAGTGAGTAGAGGGAAACCCGAACAAAAACGGGTGAGAGTTGAATCCGCTGGGAAACTGATGGAAACTGCAGCTGATGGGCTCCAATTTGACCTTTACTCGGTCTAAAATGAGAGAAGCCCTCCCTTTCGGAAAATACCTGCCCCCGACAAAAGATTCCCAACCATTTGGAGGGTCCCTTGATTCCGCAAGCAACTCTGCACAAGCAACCCTGAAACACAGGATGCTTGGCATGGTCACCAGAATCGAGCATTGCTGAAGTGCACACAGACTTCTGTAGTTCAGCTTCTTTCCAATTGGTGGTTCGGAGCCCGGCGGTTCGGTGGTTAGGGACGGTTTCCCTTGTACCCTCCACAAGATCCAGGCGTTCAAATCAAACCACCAAACCACCAACTAAGGGATTACCTGAGTAATGGCTGGGCAAGCCTTGTCGCCAACCCTTAGATATTCGTGTTTTGCAAATACATAGACAATATATACCTATACATATATAAATCATGTACAATCATATATATATATATATACATATATACAGGTGTATATATATATGTTTGTATATATATATATATGTTTGTATATGTATATATATATATATGAATCTCCCCGATCCGATGTCCCAGGCTTCGACCCGGCACCTTTCTGAGACCTTTGGTTTCACCGGGGAACCCTTCGGTGACCTCAGAAAAAAAACGTTCCCCAAAGTGAAACGAAGCCTGGCGAATTAACTCGCGGGTTATGGCCAACTAACTTGGCGAATCGAACATCGTACCGAACCAAAAGTTGGAACCTGGAAATCCTCGAAGCTGGCAAACGCCGCGGGAGGATTGAGGAGGATTCGAACGTTTTGCGCGGATTCGAATCCTTTACTTCCAAGGAGGGGGTTCCTGCTGAGTGACCGAGGGGGAAAACGAAAGAGGCGGTAACTTGGCAAAATGGGCTTGTGTCAAAGGGAAGCAAATCAACATGGAGGCCTTCCTTTCAGTTTTCTTTGAAACCAAACCCAACACGGGTACCCTCAAAAAAGGGCACACCCAACGGGAAACCCGCCTCTGGGGAGAACAAACACAAGCTTGACCAGGGTCCTTAGTTACTGGATAAGGGGATTACACACCCCGCAAATGGGGTAGTTCTGTCATCCCGTGAAGCCAAAGATTGGGGGGTCACAAAGGGTTCTCTTCTGAGCCAAACAAAAGCTTTTGAGAGTGGTGGTCCATCCTCCCTCCAGACCGGGCAATGAACCTGCCGAATCCCACTAACCTCTACTTCTAACTCGTGCCGTCTTCTTGAGTCAACTAAGGCCGTCAACTACAAACATGACTCGCAAATTCAAAATCCAAAACCTGAAATATAAAATGGACCCCAAGTACAGGAACTTCATGGGTTTTCGCTCGTTTCACTTGGCACTCATAGGCAAGCCCTTCCACGCATCCGCCAGCCGAAGATAGGCCCCGCCGAGCAGCAGGAAAAGTGGCACCACCTCTGTCTGAAGCGAAAGGTTGCAGTTGGAACACTTTACGGATGTGGGTGTGTCTTTATGTAAGGGTACCTTTTTGTGTGGCGTTTTCAGGGGAAACCAAAAGGGACACCAAAGCCATGTTGGAGGGTCCACATCCCCAAAAAAACACATGCCCATGTTATTGTTGTGCAAAAGGGAAACGTGGGGACGAGTCGGAATTCAGGTCACCAATTCACCCAAAGGCAGGAAAGGTACTCTCCCATGCGATGGTACCCTGGGGCGGTCCTTTGGACCATGTTCCTGTAGAGGGGACCCTCTGGGTTCATTAGTTGGCGGTAATTCCATGTAGCAAACAAGAAAGCCAAGCACTGAAGCCAGGGTTTGTCTTTTGTTTGGTGAATGTGCCCTCCCACGGGTGCCATGTTGTTGCCAACTTCCTTGCAAACAACACAAACAACGCCACCAACTTTCCAGGGTTCTGCGTCAACCGTGGTTTGTGGCTGGCTTATTTGCACTTTACTACGGTTTCTTGGTTGGTCTCTGACCCCCAAAAGTGAAACCTTTGGATGTGTCGTTGATTTGTTAAAGGGAAACCAACATGAAAACCACGCATTTTTGGGGAGGTCCCCCCCAAAAAAAGAAACACCCATTGCTCGTTGGACAGGTTAAAAGGTTGCAGGTCGTACCCAAGAGTTGCCGGTTTCTCAAAGTGGTGGACCGGGGGGAACCTCCCCGATTGTACCAAACCCTGCAAACATATGCACCACTCAGATCCGGCGGCTTAGAAAGTATGTGAGCCACTGCCTGAGCGTCTTAAACTTTATCCCCCAAAGATGCTTGGGCGCATATTGGTTCTCCGTTACGCTTCTACCCTCCAGCATCACACCTGGAGAGAGTCTTAGAGAGCAACTTTCTCTTGAAGGGCCGTGTTGGGAGGGGGCAGGGAATGTAAACAATGTCGGCAACACCGACACTACTTTTGCCACATACCCACATGTCCAGCAGTTGCTTACGTTGGTGTCCCGTTGCTGCCGTGGCTTCAAACTCTGTTCGAGACTTGGGACACATATTCAGCGCATGAGCGCGGAGCCGTTTGCAGGAGGCTCGTGGACTTTCTCTTTTGTATGCAGGGGTCTCCTAGGTGTCCTTTTGCAAACTCGGGTGCATGTAAAATGAGTAAGTAATTAGAGCTAACCTGGAACTGACGGAATTGGTCCACGTTCAGAAAGGACACCCATAGCTGGTTTATGTAGTGCACGTCTCTGATAGCTTTGAGGCAAATTATGAACTTCAGAATGGGCGTTGGCCATAGCTCTCGGAAACTGCACAACTGGTACGATGGACTCCGCGCCGATACACAGGAATGATGGCTGTCATGATCGTCCCTGCGTGAATGGCATATTTCTTGCCTTCTCTGTTTTAACGCTCGAACGGGCACCTCCCCGAAAAAGGACACCACTGAGCAACTCGAGGCAACTGTTACAGGATCTTCCACACATGTTTGGCCTCATGTTGGCTCCGACTCACACTTCCTCCTCCAATCATCGAACCTGTGGGATAGTATCTGAAAATGCAATTCTATCTTGGAAGGATCCGCCTATGTCAAATTCCGTGCTGTTGGCAGGGAGGAGAGCATATAAACAAATGTCCGCAACATCCATCACTAGTTGGTTCACACAGCCACATGTGCCATGTCCGAACCCCGTTGCGAAGGCCATGGGCCAAGGTTTGTGCCTCTCTTTGCAGGTTTCTGCAAAACCACCAATGTCTTCCAGTGCAACAAGCCCAGCTTTTCTGCATCGCTGCCTTGTACTCCTGTGCGCGTTAACATGGAGGCCTAAAAAGAACCACTTCCAGAGAAATCGCTTTTTGGGCAACCCCCTTTGGGCTTCATCCGACGGTTGCCCAACTAAGTAATTCCCAGCCAGACTTTCTGGCAACAGGTTGGTCATGGCACCAGGCATCATCATTCACAAGCATGTCCTAATCCTCCTTGTGGTGTGGCTTCAACTACATCGACTGATTTGGCCTGGCCGCAAAGTCATGAAGTAGGTTGATCAGCGGGAATTTGAGTTCCCTGGGCCTTTGCCACAAAGTGATTCATTTGGCTGATCTAGATTGGCGATGCTTCACAGCACGAAACAAGGAAATGCATTTTGTTTAAACAATTTATTGCTATATCAGAACTATGATCAACAACATGTTGCAAAATATGTCAAATACAAGCTCTACAGTCCTCCCTTTCCTTGAGTCCCCTTGTGTATATATTTATTTTTTTCATATCCGGTATAGCTTCCTCTTGAAAGCAAAGGAACACATATTCTTGAGCAACTGACAGCCAATTGAAGGGCCTGCGTGTGACCCAAGGACCATTTCTCGGGAGCTCGCCTCGGTCTCCGTGAGCTGCGGCATCTGGCCCTGGTGTCTTGAGTCTTTCTGGGCAGTCTCAAAGTCGATTTCAAGACCCTGGGATTCAGCCACCACAATATTACAATGGTTGGGTTTAACCCATTTACAGTTCTCTGTTCCTAGAATGGCCTTGGGACCCCCAAACAAATGACTGAAGGATTGTCATCTGAATTGGGTTTAAGGCCATTCTGCTGGGCTTTGACTGGGAGCACTGAACATATCCTTGGGGCCCCAAAAAAAGGAATCGGACCCCCAAAAAAAGGCACCCAACAGGAACCTGATAAAAGGCCCCTCATAGGCCTTACATATTAGTCGCTCTCGGCCTGTATTGGGATTGGGGCCCCTATCGACAGGCCCTTGACTTCAATAGAACAGTAACATGATCAGATTATGTGGCATATTTCGTCTGCCCGGAAAGGTGGTTCACGGGCAAGCAAGCAAGAAGAACCTACCCATTGTTCGGAGCTTGTGGCCGAGTGCGGCCGACTTAGGCGAGCTGAGGTGACCTCCTCAAAATCCTCGAGTGGCTCAAAAAAAAAAACGACCCCCTTCTCAGCACCATTTTAACATCACCGTAATACTTTGAGGGACCCTCTTCAACGTGAAAAAAAATCACCGGCGTGGAAAAGGATCGGGTGCTCCACCGAACGGCGTCCCATCGCACCTAGAGCCTTTGGACCCCATGAGCTCATATGTTGGTGCTTCCCACAAATAGGGACACCTACAAATGGGTGTGGCTCAAAAATGAACAGGAGAGGTTGCGCAGGTTTTGGTCCATGTTTTCACTTATCAGGGCAACCCATTTGGAATTCCGGTTTTTTGAGCCACAGCCAAATGTCCCTTCTCAAAACTCCGAATCATGTTTGCTGACAACCACCCTGTCTGTGATACCAAAGTGGGATTCCCATGGTATCATTGAAAATGCCCCTAGAACCTCAGTCACCACAAGCATGATCCAAACAAGTGCTTTTCCAACTTTCCAACTGTACTGCCTCAGCTTGTGAACAAATGCAATGTTTGGATGGTGCATGTTTAACCTAAAATTGCAAACTTATCCTATATCACAACAGGCCCCAACATGATAAGCATTGTCCCCCTTATGTCTCACATTTGTCCCTCATATCATCATATCCTTCCCAAATGGACCATCGACTACTGGAATGTTTGGCTGAACCTCACGTGTTACCCATCTCCCCTAGACCCAAACCAGCTGGTTTACACCATCCCTTCAAAGCAGCTGGAAAGGGTTATCTTGCAGCTGGTCGGATGCATCCGGACCTTGATTTAGCACAGCCTGCCCTTCTCCACTGCTGGACCCGAACTTGTCCCTATCAGGGTTCGGCGATTCAACATTTGGGCGTGTCTTGTTTTTTCAGGATACTTTTTTTGCGAGGTTTTAATGGGAGGCCAAATTGTGGGGGGTCCGATTCATAAAACAAGGCACGCCCACTTTGTTTAACATGCCTGGGTCTTTCCGAAGGAAGGCCTGCTCAATAGGTGACTAGTCATTCACCAACCCAATTGGGTGTCCTTTTTAGGGGAGCCCACGAAATGGGGATTTCTCTTGTGGTTTCCTATGACAACCGCCCCAAAATGGGTACCCTCAACAATCAGACACACCCCAATTCTCGGCATTCCTGAAAAAAATGTCCGTCGCCTCGCCCCCAGCGAGCGCCTGTGGAGGGGGCGTGGAGGAGAGCATCGGCTTGCGCATCGCGTTGGGGGAGACCATGGGCCCTGGCGGCGATGTGTGCGTCTGTAGGGTCTGGAAAATGCAGGCAATGTATTGTGTGCATGTACATGTACATGTGTTGTGTTGTCTTAAGACATTTTTTTTTTAAAATAATATCAAACCAGTAGCATTCGCCGCTTTAGAACTCAACATTGACTTCCATTGACTCACAAAAAGCGACATCAAGAAGACCCTCAAACAACCTTCATCCCGGGTAAGCTGAACCTCCCCATGCGGAAAACGAGAGACCTGAAACTCGCATGGTATTTAGCACCTGGTAGCTTGCAGCCTGTGGGTGGGTATCCTTCTTTTGAAGGGAACAACCACGCACTTGTCATTTCGCACCCGTTGTCATTGGGTGGTGCCTAACATAGGTGTCGGCCCCCTTTGCCGGCGGAGCCTGTTTCGACATGTCAAGCCGTTTTTCGAAGGGCCCCATCAGTTGGGTATGTATATATATATATCTAATTGGAGACCCTTTGGTTGACAGCATTTACACAATAATTGATGTCTACCCTTAGAGGGGTTCCACAACAACAATACCAATTTTGAGATTTTGTGCCCGCCTGGTAAGACGGAAGTGGGTGGTTCCAAAACTGGGAGCATCCTCATTTCTGGCCGATTCACCACTGTTTGCCTTTGTTGAAGGCATCCAAATAGAAAAGAACACCACTGGCGAACTTATTGTTGCATATATTGAAAGAGAAACCAAAACAGGGTTGCTCACAACATGAGTGTCTAGGCGGGAACCACATCAAGTCATGAGCATAAAAAACCGCTTCCTAGACCCGTGGGGGAGCATGTCTGCAAACGGAACCCGAAAAGTCGTCGGATAGTGGTTTGCTATTTGGGTGTTGTCCAAAGCGGATCTTCTTTTGGACGGTCAAAGGAAGATCAGGAAACCAACAACCTGCCCGGACCCCTCAAAGGCTGTATAACGCCAAAATAGCTGTTAGAGGGCTATTAAAAAGAAAGACGCATCATAGTCATTGGGGGGCCTGGTGGAGGGAGTTGTGGCCATATGAGTCATTCCCATGCCTTGGCCACCGATGGGCGAGGTACTCAACACCGGAGTGGGGCTCGGACTGGTCCTCAGGCTTTCTGGTGAAGCGCAAACCCCGGAATTGAAGACGTTGGTCCTCCATTGGTGGCGGTGGTGGGGGAACTTTTTCAGAGGGGGATGGTCCATTGGTTCCTTTTTTTTCATGCGAACAAAGGAAGACGGGTTTCGGGCGAACAAGAATGCTTGCTTTTGCCATGATCACCAGCGTGGATTCTGAAGCTCCCTTAAGGCAAGGGATTGGCAGCAAGTAACAACCCTTACTGCGCATGGACAAAACTCGCTTGAGGCGAGCTTCGCAGCAATTGGTGGCCGCGTTCTGTGGACCTTGTCTATCTCACTTCCTGAGTGGATTGGCTGACAAGGTCTAGACTTGTTTACCACGAAACTGGTGACTAAAGTCCATGAACTCATGGAGTGAGCTATCCCTAAACTTGCCAAACAATTTGGAGCCAGCACCTGCCGTCCTTTTCCAACTGTTGCCCCAAAAAGTCATACTTAGATGCAGGGTGGCATGTAGACCCATCTTCACTTGGGGGAGTGCAACTGCTTCCTTACTCAAACCCAGCCTCAAGTCAAAAGCCAACAATCATTCATCAAGTCTAATTCCAAGTTGCGATCAGTCAATATATCCACATAGGTGCCCAAAAAATGGTGGTTCTCCTTTTGGCTTCCTTTCGAACAAACCTGAAAACGGTACCCTCAAAAAATACACACGCACACACACACACATAGGGAACCCTTGACTTGGGTTGCTCCAAGCCAAAAGCTTGATCACCCTTCGTACATGTCCTGGGAAAGCCATATATCCTGTTTTCCAAAAGGCCTTTGCTGCGTCCTTTGTCCCAAAGACCGAATCGCCATGTGAAGATATGCCCATTTTCTGCCCTTGTGGTCTGCTCCTTTTGGGGCCCAAGGAAACGGCACACTCGGCCGCGGGGCACAGATCCCGGCGCCAGCGCCGCCGGCCGCGGCCGCGGCCTGAGTCGAGCGAGGCTGGCAAGCGGCGTGACCCCTGCGGGGACCTCTACCTGCACTTATACCTTAATTAACTCCCCCCCGCTGTAGGTTAGGTAGAACTAGTTCAGTGGATTCCGTCCGGTTTCCCGTGTGTGGAAGATTCAGTACATAAATGTTCCATCGGAATAAGGGGGGGGGTTCATGCATAAGTACAGCTGGAGGTGTGTACCTAAGACCTGTCCGCTGAACAACTCATAGCGCTTAGGGTGAAATAAGAACTACGATGGATTGCCTTGCCACATTGCGAGTAAACCAAGCACACACCATGGTTGAAATTGCAGGGTTTCCTTGGTTCCCTTGCATAGTGACATCACTGGAAATAAGAACACCGACAACATGCATCATAAGGTGTGACTGTAGTTCGCCAACTGAGAAGCTGCACCCAGGTGGCCCGAAAGAACCATAGCCACTGGAAGCATTCACCAACATACTCTGTGGACGAAATCCGTCTCGCATCGGATTGGTGGTTCATCAACACAAAATAGATAGGGCCTCGTCTATCCCCAATTGGTCCGAAATGGACTTATTGCGCCACCCTGAAGTGTCACGAACCTCAGCCGCGGCGCTGCTGTGGCCGCTCGGGAGCGGCGGGACCAGCGGGACCAGCGGGACCAGCGGGACCTGGACCTCTGGGGTCGATGAGGTCCTGGGCAGCCAAGTTGGTACCTTTTCGGAGAAACCTGGACCAAAACCACCTAAACCCTCCGATAGCTTAAGAAAGCCAACAGGGGAAAATAAATAAACACAAATCTATCAATCAAATGGAAGAAACTGCTTAAACAACCTTCTCTCAGCTACCCAGAAAAAAATGAAGTGCTTTGGACTGGTGGCTTGGATTTGGATTTCAACCCCTGGCTAGTGAGGGTCAATGGGGAACCACCCCCAACCTCCAACCTTCCAACTAAGGACAACCGGATTCTCTTAGTTCCTCTTTCCCCACCAAAAAAAGGGGACGCAGCAAAAATGGGATTCTTTTCCACACCTCAAAAATGAAATAGCTTTGGAGGAGACCCGAGCTTCATTGCGGCCAGGGGTTGACGTGCTAAACCCATTTTGCTCCTTGGTCTTTGGTTAAGCCTGGTTGGTTGCTTTCGTAACCAAGTTGAACAAGCCCAATGGGTGCCTCTCCTTTTAGGGGACCCCCAATGTGGTTTCCTTTTGGCATTCCTCTAAACCCACTGAAAAACAGGCATCCTCAAAACAAACTCCGCTTGGGGCATTGTTTGTCTCCCTGGATCGCCAGCTGTTTTTCTGCCCAGTAGCTGTTTTAGGGACTGTCTGGGAGAAACAATACCCTGTCCAACCCACTGTGTCCCATTTAAATGGCTCTTCTTTTGTTCTTGAGGGTGCTCTTTTTGTTGCATGGTTCTAGAGAGAACCTTTATTCACATTTACATGCTTTTTAGCATAATCCAACTAGCTACCTTAAGTATCTTTGGACACATGTCATTTTTTGTAAACGTAAATGAGATACATTTTTCAAAGGAAAGCCCAAGGGTCCGCTTCCAAAAAGGAGAGAGACACGTCCGTGCACCCCTTTGGCGCTGGCCCCAGGCGTCGGGTCCTGGGCCTGGGTGTTGCCCTTGAGCGCCGCCAGCAGAAGCTGCCCGGAGCCAGCTCCGCCGGGGGCCTTCGGTTGGAGCGAGGGGGTGGTGGGCTGGGAGGGGGGCTTGGGGCGCCGAAGAATGCGACAAGTGCGAAGTTGAAAAGTTGGAGCACGAGATCGTGAAGCAAGCCCGCACCTACTGTACTTGGGGGGTTTGGGGGGGGTGAAAGAGGAGGTTTGCTCTTGTAGTGATAAGTGTAGTTCTGGAGGAAAGGGGGGGTGGCTTTGACCCCCAAAGTGGGGCAGGGGGCTTTGAATCTGGGGGTGGGGGGTGAAGGGAGGAAGTGACACCCCCAACTCACAAGTAATTTCAGAGAGAACCAAACTGAAATTGCAACTGGCCACTTCAAGGGACCCCGGATGGTCCTTTTGATTTCTCTGAAATGGACGTTACATCTTGGATGTTCGGCAAAGCTAGTAAGTTGTTGGTATCCGGTCGGTTGCAACCCACCTATAGGTTGGCTAATCCTTAAAGGCTGGTTGGGACTTGTTCATGGCCCCGGGGCCCCGTTAAAGAACAAAACAGCACTTTCACACTGTGAAAAGAGGAAGTGACGTTCTCTGTACCCCTTGACGAGTTGGGGTGCACCCCCCCTTTTCTTGGCCCAAATCTAGGATACACACGTACTAGTTGTTTGTGATTGTCCATACTTAGTCTGCCCTATCGAATATATGTTGGAGGAGACCCTTAGTTGCGAGTACCCTCCCACCAATTCACATGGAATCGACAAGGGGTCCCGTTGAAAGGAAAATGGTCTTCCAACCCCCCCCCCCGACGGTCAGGTTCCATGTGAAAAGAGTGGGAGGGGAGTTGGGTCACAACCTCCCTCCGCCCTGGTACGAGAGACGCCAGAAGCCAAGCAGCAGGTGGCTCCGCCCACTCGCCCTCCTCCCAGGTCAGCTTGTCGTGCTGGTTCCTGACCCCCGATTTGTCTGTGCGGCTCCCAATAGGTTCTAGCCCAAAACCACTAGCCAAAGGGAAACCTGTTGTATAAACACGAGGGTGTATCTCTTTACAACCCCTAGATCCCAACATGGTTTCCAGCCACACACTTTTGCCTTTGCAAGAGCAGCCAGCAAGTGGTCAGGTGACCAAACCACTAAAGGAAACCTGGGGTATACAACCACGAAGTCACAACGTGGGTATATCTCTTTGCAACCCTTGGCGTGGTAGTATAACACTTTGTTTGTTGCCACCCCTACTAAAACTGATCAGAACCAAAACACCGCAAACACTTGCCAACAACAGTGAGGATATCAAACTTTCTTTTGGGGGTGATGTGGGGTTGGTGGAAACCATATTTGACTACTAAGTAAGCTGTAAGCTTCACCAACGGCAATCCCATTCACAGCCATGTTGCTAGCCCACTTGTCCACTCCATGCTTGGTGGAAAAGGGTAGGGGGTGCCGCGCAGGAAAACAAAACAACAACAATCGGGGTATAACATCTCGGCCGGTGGTGTGTCATGGTCGTGGCTCCGTTGATAGGAATGAATTCAATTGCTGTCTCCCTATCGAGGGTTGATCTAAATTCCCTAAGGGGTGCATCACCTCTAGGATTTACGTCATATACGGCGGCAAGCCGCCCTGGTTGCCGGTTATAGCGGCAAGTGGAAAGCACCGGGCCAAGAAAAAGGGGCCCAGCCCGGCCTACCTCAAGGTCAAAATTCCAACCAATCTATGAGCATTACTGTCAACCCATGATGAACACACCTCTGCTTTGTAACATGGGGCCGGATGTCCCTGGCTTTAGTGGGAGAAGGAACAGCCCCTGAATAGCGGTCTACTACTCCGGGGTCAACATTAAGCCCCAACCCCAAAGACTGCTTTGACAACGGCACATAAACCCGCCTGTAGGACGCATGCAAACACACCGTGGGCGCCGAGCTCGCCATCAGCCACCCATCACGGGACCTTGCGTCAGGATGCCTCGAAACGTTTGCCGTATTGAATTTTAGATGGGCCATTGGGTGGACATCATTCAGGTGCAAATTTGTGTCCACCAACCGGGTTCCCCTGCAAAGTTTGACTTATGTGCCAAAAACTGCGAATCCTGCACAAGTTGGGATGGATGAAACCACGTAAATACTAGAAAAAACACAAATGTGTCCATCCACAGTATGTGCCAAGAACTGTGATTTATCTCACTTCTTGCGTGGACTGGTCTGTTCGCCACTCAAGTAATCTTGCCAAAAAGTATGGAGCCAGGGGACCCCCCCAACAAAAGAGATAATAATAAGAATGGTGGTTGTCTTTTTGGCTTCCCCTTTAAGCCCACCAAAAATGGGTACTCACAAAAACAACAGACCCATATAATCTTTCAAGTACAGGGGCCCGGTTCGCGCTTCCCTGTCAGAGAAATAAACAAATCTTCCCACACAAGGAGCCTTTGTCAGTGCCCATTCTCTTGACCCTTAAGCGAAGCTCTTTCAGGAGATTAGTCAACCTATGTGGATGGACGAAGCCCATTTCTCACCTCTTTGAAACCATGGGACACCATTGTTGGCTGATACTTTCAGGGGACGATCTTTCCAGCGTTTCTTAGGCAGTGCAGGATTGCGTCCATCCACAGTATATGTTCAAAGTAGAAACAACCAAGCTGCGAATTCCGTAAGAGGTGCCCCTTTCCGACGAAAAGAAACATTACTAAGTCCCTGAACTCGGCAACCACTTCGCCATGTGTGATCTTGAAATCCGACACCGGAAACCCGGAAGGGATGCCGGAAACTCCTGGAAACCCCAGAACTCGGGCCATGTTTGTTAACACGTAAAGTGGCCCGCACACCGGTGGTCCACTCTAGAACGGTTTGGATCCCATAGCGAGTTTGAGCTCAGGTTTGGGGTTGACCAGCTTTCCAACCCTTGGTGTGGTAAAACTTTCACTTGGTTTTCTGCAGCCCCCTACCCAAAATGAACAGAGCCGAAACAAAAAAACACCTGAACACTTGCCACCAACAGTAAAGCGGCAGTTGAAGAATCTCCGTTTCAGTTGAGCAGCTTGGGTTCACCTAAAACGGATCTTGGTTGGTTCGCCCTGGATGGGAATGACCAGTTCGGCTTAACCTCGAGCTCGCAACTGCGTGTCCCTGTGCGGAGATTTGAATGCAGGAATCTGGAAGCACGCGGATCACCCTTGAAGTTGCACAAATGTACTTGCGGCACGGCTTTATGTATGCATCAATATAGCATAGCTATATGTACATGTAAATATATATATATATACACATACATATTCACAATTTACTATTTGGCCCATTGCCTCTCATTGAGGCACCCATTTTCGGGGCGAGACTTGAAGGATACAACTCAGCCTTTGGAATGACACGGTCTGTCTTTCTCCTGAGGGTAACCTTGAGGATTACTCCAAACAAATTCGCCAGCCCAATGTCGCCACTTCAAACATCAACACTTCCGATGGAGTGGATTGGCCAAAAAAGGCACTCAACTGGTCTTCCCAAAAAGAAACAGCAAGTCCAGAAACTCGGGAAGTGAAACATTTTGATTTGAAGGGACACCAAGAGGGAACCACTCAATTTGGGGTGTCTCCGCCCATTTGGAGAACAAGCCAGGGTCAGTTTCAGCAGTGTGAAATCGCGGAGGAAAACCACCGCGTATGTGCAGCACTGCTGTTGGCATGATTTGGTTTTGGGCTCTGTTCAGTCTTAGCAGGGGCTACCAAAAAAAACAAGGGCTGGTTGCCAGCCCATAGCAACGGTTGGAAATGAAACCAAAGCGGAAATCCCATCACCCTCGTCGACGCTGGGCGGAGGGGCTCGGCGGTGCACCACGTCAGATCTGGGCGGTGCAGCCTGCAAGTGTGAGTCTGCCGGGGGGGTCTTTGGCGTGGATTGGGGCCTGCAGTACAGAGGCTAGAATAATTAACCCTTTTTCTGTAGTCTATTTTAGTATGGGAACCCTTCCCCAGAAACGGGGAAAAGGGCACTACTGGAGGCCTAGCTTGTATGACTTACAACCTGGGTTGCCCAAAGCGACACTCCCACAGGGAGGCCGGTCCAAACATGGATTGCCGGGGAGCAGGCAATGTGATCTAATCAACGGGGTGCTCGTCAAAACCGAAATTGGCCGTCAACTACTGCAACGGCCTTTCACTTATATACGTACATATCGATCACCCTCTTCGATCCCCAGTTGTTCAGTGGATTCAACCCTTCCTCCCTCTTTCTTGAGGGAATCTTCCCATCCTCAAAAAAAGAAAGAGAGAGGTCAACTCCAAAACGGAAGAAGCCGGTTCCCTTTTTCCACCTTTTTCGGGCCCTCCGGGCAGCTAGCAACACCAAACAAGCCATAAATTCGCTTTCCCAGTGGGATGCCCGCCCAGGCGCACCAACAGCACACGCGGTGCGCTGGGCCCTGGCCTATGATCGATGACCCGCCAGTCGATGCAGTTGTGCTCCAGGCGCAGCCAGATGGGGCTGAAGCCACGCCCGTCCCGGCACCCCGAGTTCTGGGCGTCGTAGGGGTACTTCCCGCTCCAGGCCTAGGTCTCCGAATAGATGGGCGGGAAATGGAAACCAAAACGCGTTGGGAAAACGCTTCGGCAGGCAGGGGTCAATGGAATTACGACGCTTGCCTGAAATCAAATAACATGTTTGATGACCCTTCCTACCATTTACGCAGAAGTATATATATATATATATGTTTTGGTTGGAGTTTTGTCATACATGCAGGAGCGTGGGAGAATGCTACAAACATAAAGGGGTCCCTTCCAAACCCTTTCTCAGCTTCAGGGTCGTTTACATTCAACATCCCCTGTCCGCGCAAATGGACCCACTTGTAACCCCCTGGGTGGGGGTTTCTAAAGCCTGGGCGCCCCCCAAAGTGGTGATTTTCGTTTTGGCTTCCCCAAAAAACATGCTGTGGATGGACGAAACCATGCACCACCTAAGACACCATGGGAAACCCTTGTTGGTTGGTATTTACAGGGGACTCAACCTTCCGGGGTTGCTTAGGTGGCGCGAACTGGATTTCGCAACCATCCAGGTTCCAATTCTGCCCTTGAGCCACGGCTTCCCCTCGATCTTCCTACGGCCTGGGGGCCAGGCAATCAGCTCCAGGAGAGCGCAAGCGCCTGGAGAATCGGCCGCAGAACGAAACGGTTGCCCAGTTGATTGGTTGCACAAAGGGACTTGTGCCGTTTTGTTTGGATGTTTTTACTTGTTTAATCATTGACTTTCTAAAGGGAAGGAAACCAGGCTGACTTTCAAGGAAAGCCCGACTTTGACAACCAAAGGTGGTGCAAATAACAATCGACATGTCCCCGACTGAGAGCATCAAGAGAAGCCCCTTGAGCCCCTTGAGGCCCTTTAGACCCATGAGAAGGGTCGAAATGTCGGGCCCAACAAGGGCTCAATAAGCACGTCAAAAAGCAACCTGTAAACCAACCAAACAAAGAATACCCTCCAACATGTCCACCCTTTCGATGGGTCTAAAGGGATGCCTCAAGTGGCTCTGGGCTTCTGTTTTCAGTTGGGGACATGTCGATTGTTGCGCCACCTCTGGTTTTCACAAAGACACACCAATAACCGGTTGTGTAGAACAAGGTCCCGAAAGAAAAATCAGACAAAGGGACCGTACGTTCCGCCCTTTGTGGCGCGGTCATTGTGGGCCTTCGGCACGGAACCAGCAGTGTGGGGCGGGGTGGGGGGGGTGGCCTGCCAGGCGGGATTTCAACGGTGGCCAGACCCAGACCCCCAGACCCCCAGTGGCCATGTGTAAAAAAAGCAACGGCGCTCTGCTTGCTTTTGGGTAGTTGACTTTTTAACGGGTCCCCCTTCAACAAAAACGACAAATGCACTGAAGGGTGTCTGAGAATTCGGGGATTCACAGCGCGAGCCCTGGTTGCAACCCACTTAGGAGACTGATAAGACTCAGACTGATAACCATGGCTTTTGTGGGTTAGTACACCAGGCTGCCTAACCGCTAACTAAGTACCCGATCGCCCCTTTGTACCTTTCAAAGGCATGGTGGGAAACAAAGTAATGCTGCGACCCGGAGTTTAAGGCGTTATTGTTTGGACCAAGCCGAATAGGCGCCTCCAACTACGACTCCCCAAACGCGTGTTTTTCGCTTGAAGCTTTTGAAGGGTCGACATGTCGGCCCAACACAGACTCAATAATGGCGTGTGTCAAAGCGGAACATCAGGCTTGTCTCAACACAGGAAAACCCTCCAAAATCCAAAGGGCCCATGACCATTCTCAAAATGCAGCTGATCAACTCGGCTGCCTCCAAGTGTGTTCTGCACTAAACTGCTCTTACCGTCCCTCAAACGCCACTCCCAACCTTCTCTGGGGTACTCAGTCTGCTTCAAGGGGTGATGGCGGTTTCTTTGAAGGTTTGGGCCTCGTTCCTTTTTGTAACCCCGAGTTGCTGCTCTGAGACAAGTGTAACCTCGGATCCGTCCCCCTTGTTGTCTGACTTCCCGCCCCCCAAAAAAAACACAAAAAAAACAACAAAAACAAAAACAACAACAACGCCAACAAAACCACCTGGCGCGCGGATCGATCAACGCGCGGATCACTCAAAGCGCCGCGTGCCGCGCTTCAAGGCGCGCGCCTTGCTCGGAGATGCCGTTGTGGCTCAGGTGCACCTCGTGCACCGCCTGCGAGCTGTGGGCCATGAACTGGCCCACCGCCCAGGCGCCCGCGTCCCGGATGTTGTTCCTGCGCGAGGGATGAGATGGGGATGGGGACATGCGCCAAGAAGTCCTGAGTTTTCAGCCCTCCGAAACGAGGGCCTTCACTCCAAGCAAAAGAAACAAACCAACTCATTGGTGATCACTCACCCAATGAATAAACACTAGGTTGTCTTTGTGCCAAGCGATGTGTTGGTGAGTGACCAAGCCCTTCACCCCCGAAACGCACATGACACACAAATCGCAGTCTTCGTTCCCCAAGAGGACGCGGGAAAAAAAGGGTTGTGTGGCTCGCTTGCCACATGGCGCTTTGGGAACTTAAAGCCAACCAAACGGGTTTCCCTAAAAAAGAGAGGCCTATATCGGAGCCCCTGTGGTAATACGGGGACTTCTTTTGTTTCAAGCCTGCCTAACATGCGAGAGAGGGTCCGGTCCCCTTTCGCGGTTGATATGTAGTGAATTTCCCCATGTCCCGAACCTCAAATGAACCGACTAGAGGCCCGCACCTCCGCACCAAACTAACAAGCAGTTCGTCAGTTCCTCACTTGGCTATGAGGTTCAATTGGGAGCCCCTCCAAAACAGATGCCAAGGGACATGATATCCTCCCAACATGTTCCAACTAAAATTCACGTCCATATCTTGGCCCACATCTGGTGCACACAGAATCATATTTTATGGTTATGTTTCATACTTCGTGCACCCTAAAATATACGACAGTTTGGGAGCCCCCATTTTATCTTGGCTCGGGCACCAATGAAGGGCGCAGCGAAACGCGATAGTCGTTGTGAATTGCAGAACTCCGTGAACCAATAGCACCCTGAACTCGCATTGCACTCTTGGGACACGCCTGAGAGTATGTCTGCTTCAGTGCTTTTTCATATCTTCGCAATAATGCCCCACTACAATTTGTGGCTTTCCTTTTAGTTTCCTGTTCAAGACCACCATTTTAACAGGGGTACCACCGAAAAAAGACGAGCCATCCATATGAGCTATGGTCAAAACTCTCTATATGGCCTGTGGTCATATCATTCTGATGGTTGTTCAGAATCCCCACAACCAGCCTCGTAACCCCAAACAAACGGGTCTTTGACCATGGCGCATATGGGGTTCTATTCAGATGAGATATGAACCTCTCAACATTTGGCGACAGGATGCAAGGGACCCCAACAGGACAACCACCCCTGTTCGGGGTCCAAAAAAGACGAGCCCCCCATCTGGCTTCGTTTCAGATGAAATATGGGTGTGATATGTTACAGGGGACCCGTTGGTGGACATCATTCAGGCGGGAATTCATCTCCAGCCTGTCAAAATTCCACAGCCACACTGTGGATAGACAAACTCCTGCACCACCTAAGGAACCCTCGACTGATGACTCCCCTGCAAACACCAACAACCAATGGCTTGCCATGGTCGCAAAGCGGATTTCGAGCAGCGGATTTCGGCCAGCGGACCTGAAGAGCTTCAGGATCTGCACCGTGATGTCCCGGCTGTAGAGGAAGCTCAGCAGCTTCGTGAGAGCCTGCGCACCGGGAAATTTTCTTTGAAGATACGCCTTGGCATCTCCGTTTTCTGACCCCCTGGTAAAAGTTAAAAGTGACTTATGTTTAGTGGGTTGAATGGACACCCAACCACTAAACAAAAACAAACTGACAAACAAGGGGACGGCCGGGAACAGCCAAGTCTTGCAGCGGTCCAAGCAACAACAAATGAAACTAGCAGTTGTTGCGGTCACCTATTTTGAGTCGCACCCATGTTTGCTACGCCAAGACTTTTGAGGCTCCCCATTGAAGCTCTTTAACGTACTGCGGATGAACAAAATCCATGTCGCACCAGTTGGAATTGGTGGTGTATTCATGTTTATTCCAATACATCTAGGGGCTTCATCTATCCCAAGTGGTGCGAAGTGGACTTCGTCCACCGACAACAACATGGGCAAAAGCACGTGCATCCTCAACCGGTGGGGACACATGAAGGCCTACGAATATTGGAGAAACAAAAAACTACCAACCGGTGCAGGATTTTGTCCATCCAGGGAATGTCCCAAGAACCTGTGAAGTATCTCACTTCCTGAGTGGGCTGCTCAGAAAAAGTCCAGCCTTGCAGGTTTTGCCACTAAACCGACCAGCCCCGAAAAAGGTAACTAAAGGCCAAAAACTGGGAATGTGGTTTGGGGAAGCAGTACATATTATAAGGGTGAAGCGATTACCATATCTTCTGAGACACTACAATCCCCTGTATATGGCAATTGGTTTGCCGAAAAGCAGCATCCCCTGGAAGAAGGAATGAGGCATTTGAGCAAGCCTTTTTTTGGCCCACCCCGGAAAATGTACGTACAAGTTGTCATAGTAACTATTTTTCAATATTTGAACAAACTTCTTGCGTAATGCAACTCCTGCTTCATTGTTTATACTGTTTTTTAGTTGATGTTCTTGATTTAAGTTTGAAACATATACTGCAACTGAAGCGCCAAAAGGACAATTCAGTGTAATTTTAGTTTCAAATGGATCTAATAAACCATATCGGTGTAAAATTCGCCTCGGCCCCAAAGGGGCCAAGGGCGCTCAGATCTCTTCTCCAAAGAGAATCTTCGCTTTTCCCCTCCCCCAACCCCCTCCCCAACCAAAATTTTGCCGGGCCGCCCCCCCCCCCCAACCCATGTCGGCTGGCCCAAAATCCTGTCCGGCGGGCCTTGAAATTTTCGGGGTTCGTCGGCGTCCAGCTCCATGGGTCCATTTTTGTCGAAAATGTGCTGACAATTGCGAAAATCACTAAAAAATTGCTTTTTTGTCCTGAGAAGCATGACCTCCTGGTGGCCAGGCCTGCCTGACGTGTCTGAGACTAGGCTCAGGCCCAGCCCAACCAGCAACCCGCCTGCTGGCCAGGCCTGTCAGCCCCACCCAGCCTCAGGCCCAAGCTTGTCTGAAACAGGCCTACCAAGTCATCCAACAAGCCCAGCCCAGCGCCCAGCCCAGGCCCTAGGCCGGCCCCAAGGTCAGGTTTGTCTAACAGTCTCACGTGTCTGAAAGAAACTGGTGCCAGCCACCAAGCCCGTCTGACGTGCCCCAGCCCCTCAGTCCGGCTGCCCAAGCAACTCAGCCCAGGCTGGCCAAGCCTTGACCTCCTGCTCGCGTCTGGCCCCAAGTCATCCAGCAGGCCCAGCCCCGTCTCAAAGTACGCCAGCCTAAGGCCTCAGGCCCAGCCCAGCCAACTCGCCACCCAGCCTCAGGCCCAAGTGTGTATGAAACAGGCCTTGCCCATCCAGCAACCCGCCCAAGCACAGCTCAGCCCAGCCCGCCCAGCCCAAGTTCCAGGCACAACCAGCAGCCTGGTCCGGCTGCCCGGCAGCCAGCAACCCACCCATGGCTTCGCAGCCTTGTGGCTGAGACTAGCTTCAGGCCCAGCCCAAAGCCTGCCCAGCCCAGGCCCCAGCGCATCAAGGTATGCCAGCCTGAGACTAGCCTCAGGCCCAGTCCCCTCAGCCCGCCTGCTGGCGTGTCTTACGTGTCTGCGACTGGCCTCAGGCCCAGCCTAGCCAGCAACTCGCTACCCAGCCTCAGCCCATCCAGCGACCCGCCCAAGCACAGCTCAGCCCAGCCAGCCGAAGTTCCAGGCGCAACCAACACCATAATCCAGCTGCCCAGCACCACCCATGGCTTCGCAGCCTCGTGGCTGAGACTAGCTTCAGGCCCAGCCCAACCAGCAACCCGCCTAAGCCAACCCCACCCAAGCCCACCCGGTTTGAGACTCGCAGGCCTCAGCCTATCTAGCGAGACTGGGCCTCACCAGCCTGGGCTCAACCTGCTGGCCAGGCCTGTCTGACGTGTCTGAAACTGGCCTCAGGCCCAGCCCAGCCATAGCCCAGCCCCCTCAGTGCGGCTGCCCAGCCCGCCGTAAACTAGCTTCAGCTCAACCAACAACCCACGCAAGCAAGGTCCAGCCAAGCTGCCCGAGACTAGCTTCAGGCCCAGCGCAGGCTTATCTGATGTGTCTGAGACTAGCCTGTGGCCCAGCCCAACCAGGCGAGGCCGGCTTGTCTGACTTGTCTGGAGCCAGCTTCAGGTATTCGGACCTTCCCAACACTGGATTTCGGTGTTCCTGACCCTTCCCTCAAACTAGGCTGGGCCGAGGCGGGCAACGCGAAGCGTTTACAATTAAAGCTCCTGGATTTGCTCATTTACAATCTTCAAATCATATGGTTAAAGGGCATATGATTGCGTTCTTTCAAAGAGAACCCCGCCAGCAGTATCGCAGACTCCAGCTTCATCTCCAGGAAAATGTCTGTCCCATCCACAAAACCGGGCTCCTTCTCATTGTACAGAGCAGCTGGAGATCCCAAGTTACCTGCATATCTCATATCGGCCAAACCGCCGCTCCAGGCTGCTGACACCTCACCGGACATTGCTAGCAAAGCGCTATGATATTTCAACCAAATGCGCGTCCAAAGGCCCACATGGCACACGTCTTGGTTCCACGAGAAGCTGGTCGCAGGAAGTGCCGCGGTGATGGTTGCAGTCTGTTCAGACCGCGCTAGTGTCACGGGCGGGGCCCTATCTTTCTTTTCCTCCTGGCTTTTGGAGAAATTATACCTACTATAGGCTATTTAGCAGCCAGAGCCCACAAAATGGTTTTACCCTGAGAGCTCGCCAAAGGCAAATATCATAAATATATTCACAACCCCTAAGGCTAACCCTTCCGTTTGTTGCTTAGTGCAAAGCTTCGACTTAAACACAGGATTCGGTTTCCGTTTTGGGTCTAAATTCACATAGCCATACGAGTGAATTAAAGTGAACTGCATAAACGTACCCTAACCGCCAAGCCTAAGACTAACCCCGGCGGATTTTCCCACCTAAGACCAGATACTACCGAAACCCTTAGGCTCTGAATGGACACCGCCAAATGGTGGTTCCCTTGTGTGTTCCCTTCAAACCATCCCAAAAATAAGACACGCCAGCCTCTTAAACAACCTGCGTGTCATCCTGCAACAATTCCCTGTGGTGGCTTGGATTGGTGGTTTGGAGTTTGGGGGTTCAGAGGGTGTCCATGTCCCACAAATTCCAGGAGTTCAAACCCAAATCCAAATCAGTGAGGCAGACCAACTAAGGGTTCTGTGACTCACTGACCACAAACTTGTTGGGGGGAAGGGTTCGGGAACCCAAAGGAAAATCATGCTGATCCATTTTGGAGGTTCTCCTCAAAAATGCCATCCACCCGCCACCAAAGGGTTCCCTGACCCAAAAGATAAGCAACCCAAAAGCCTCCCCAGTCCCTGCCTTCCCCAACTTGTGCTTTCTTTCCTGAATTCATACCTGAAACACAAAATCATGAGGTCGCACACCAAATCCTTGTCTGGGCTGTCCAAACTTATCCCCTGCTACAAGTGACGAACTTTTAGTGGGTTAAACGGAAACCCGACCACTCAATCAACTAGACCACCCGAAAGCCTGAGTTGAACCGGATGGCGGGGAACCGCCAAGATTTGTCTCACACTCGGGTTTCCAACAAGGTCTCAAGTTTTACCCTCTACAACTTCCAGGGGTTCAAGTCATCCAGTTCCCACCAATCCAAGCCACCTTTTTCACTGGGTTGCCCTCAGATCCTCCTTCCAAAAAAGTTTAACTGTTGGTGGGTTAAATGGAAACTCCCACTAAACACTAAAAGGCTAAACGGCTAAAAGGCCAGAAGGCTAAGGGGATGGCTGGGAGCCACCAAGTTCACGTATTCCTTAAGCCACGTGGATCATCCGAATCCTCTCCGACCTCGTCGTCCAGCGAGCACCGGGAGAAGTTCAGCGACGCCGCCGCCAGGCGCGGAAGGCCCCCCCCGCCGAAGCGCTCCGCGAGTTGGGCGTCCAGCGTGGCGCACCAGTCCTTCGGGGAGCGAACAAAAACAGATCAACGGCACCGGTTGGAACAAACGGTGGGGTGGGAATTTTGCCTTGGGCTTGGAATTGGTGTGGTTTTCTGGAACAAACAATGGGAGGAAGGGTATTGGGTTGGAAGTTTTCTCTCATGGGCGGTATTTATTCCCTTTGGACTGGAAGGGGTTGAGTTTCAGTGGGTGGGAATTATTGCCTTCGGTTTGGAATGGGCTTGGTTTTGTTTGTTGGTTTGGTATTGTTAAACAGTGGGTGGCAATTGTTGCCTTTGGTTTGTTTGTTGGTTTGGTATTGTTTGCTGGCTTCGGCTTGTTTGTTGGTTGGTCCCCTCCCTCCCACGTTGCCATGGCACTTGATAGGGAAATGATCCCCTCAAAAGGAAAATGATCTTACAGGTTCCCTTTCACAGGTGCTATCTGAGTGGGAGGAAGGGCTTTTTTGGTTTGGAATGGGTTTGCTGGGCTGTCCAAACTGATTCCCTGGCACAAGTTCGTCTAGGTTAAACGGAAAGCCAAACACCAAGCCTTAAAGACCTAGAAGCCGCAGGGGACGGCCGGGCACCACCAAGTTCGGTATTGTTTGTTGGCTTGGTCTTCCCTTCCAAATGGACGGCTGTCACGGGGGAAAAAAAACTTCTGGGAGTTTTATGCAGCTGATGCTTAAGTAACCAGTTCTTGCAAAAGAGGGGCCTTCTCCTAACCCAGAGAACCTGGAGATAAAAAGTTAGCCTTTTGGAACAAACAAAAAACCAAAAGGGGAACAACACAAGGTCAAACGGTCGATTCGCTTTGGACAATGGAGTTGCTGGGGCTCCATGTTAGCCTTGCTTTCCCCGGAACTCCATCTGCAATCTAAAGAGCGCCTCCCAAAACAACACATCGAACAAATGGGTGTGTCTGTTTTTGGGGAACCCCTTGTGTGGTTCTTCAGAGAAAGAAAGGAACACATCCTTGCTTAATTGAACAGTTACCGTAGTAGAAGGGGACTCTTCTGGCCAGTTTGAGTCAACCCACCAGCCGACGAAAAGGCAAAAGTGCGACTGAACTGGGTCTCTCTTCCTGAGCAAAAGGTCGATTTTGTAGTTTAATGGCAAAGCCAATGTTACCACAGATTGTCTCTCCCGACATGGGCGATTCGGTCACCAAAGACCAGCCGGTGAGCAACTTGGAATTCAACATTTGCAGAAGACAATGCTTGACACCACCCAGTCCGCGCCTCTACACACGCCACAGAGATGTTGTCACCTGATGCAGCAAGGATAACTTCAAGCAGAACCGTCGCCGGAATGGATCTTGCGTGGGTGCTGTGGTGTTGGGGGTCTTAGGGAAAGTTTTCTGAGCCCCTGACTTAAACAAACACAAGTTATGATTCAGGGGTCCCTGTTGAGTGGGGAGTCCTCTCTCTCAGGAGAACCGCTTGATTCGTTTGATGAATAGCTGCGGGGCTCTGAATCAAGAGTACGCATACCATGGGGGGTTACAACATACGGCACCCATTTGGCACCCTGGTTTAAGCAGCGATATCAACATTGATACAAACATGGCAACCATACGCACACACTCACACAGTTTTACCATATTGATGCAGGGGTTGTGCCTGTGCGCCTGCGGGCACTTCACTTGGAAGCTCACACGAAACGTTTGTGCAGGGCGCTGCTTCTTCGCCGCTTCAGCTGTGCCAAGGGCCGCTGTCACCCCCACAAAGAAGTATAGTCTATGGGTTAGAAATAAGGGATTTCTTCAATAATGAAGCACCGCTCATCATGGGTAAGGTCTTCATGATGTTTACAGGCGCATGCGTTACACCACGGTGCATCCGGGGAAGGGCAAAACGGGATGCAGGGAGACACTGGAGTCCCGTGCACCTGTTGATCAAGTTGTTGGCTTACAAGCAGAGTTGGGCCAACCTCCCCTTCCATTTGCTTCAGCCCCCTGGACAAATGCAAACATTTGCAGTAGTGACACATTCCCTTTGAAAACCAACAAGGGAAATAACCCATGCATATTCTTAAGCAAACAGAAGGCAACCATGTTTAAGCATCGAGTATTTCAAGACTCTCCTCTTGAATCCCCTGTTGAGGAGGTGCCAGCATGTGGATCTTTAAACCAGTTTTGACCAACCCTTCTTGAAAGGGTTGTGGAAATTAACAGCGGGTCGCTGGACACACTGCAATTCCAATGTATGAAGCGATGCAGTCGCAAAGGGTCAACAGTTGACCAGGAAACTTTCTTGACAGTTAGACATGGAACCTGAAATCTGATGATTGCGAGAAGGATGTATAGAAGCCTCAGGGTAATGAGGATAATGAGAATGATTATGATAAGAATGACGACCATCTAGCCAAACATAAAATCCAGGCTCCTCCGAAGGAAACCGGAAATGCAGGCGCTTAAAACACAAAACATGCGCAAAAAAGGTCCATCTGGCTCGTTTCCCAGCTCTATAGAGGTAACTTCCCCATTTCTTCCAGGGGTCAGTCGTTCCAAAAAACCGCCCAAAAATCCCCTGGAGGCGGCGGGCCAATGGCAAAAAACGATGGTTGCCAAGAATGGACATGGAACCACCTGGGAACATTGCCCAGGCCCGCGCCTTCTTGCTCCGCCTTGAAGACATGCGTGTCCGACCACTTGATGCTCCATCGACTTTTGGGCACTCTTGCCATCAACCCATTCGCCTGCGCGCGCACTCTCGTGCGTGCGCGCGCGGGCCGAAAGAAATGAGGCGGACACTCTCTGTGAGTGGCTGCCTGTTTGGTCTTCAACTTCCCGCTTGAGGTGTCTTTTGGAAAGTCTTGGCAGAGGCCGCGGTGGGTTTATGCTTGTCAGCTTGGTGGTGCTGCTTATCGGCTGGATGGCGAAGCGGTTACCATGTGCCATGTGCAGCTACCTTGAACCCAGCTGCAGTTCCCACATCTGCGCTCGGTGCTCCTTGCAGTAAAGGTGGGCAGCTCCCTGTGGATGCAGACGGAACAAAAAAACATAAATAATGAACGATTGATATCTATTCATTTCCTTGCTGTCTCATATTCTGCAAAATCCTTCCATGTGTTTCTTTCTTCCCCCATTGATCTGTTGATTCAAATGTCTAACGATCATTTAGAATGATGCCTACTGTGGATGGACAAAATCCTGCACTACTTTGAAACATGGGAACCAATTTGTTTGTTGGTATTTGCAGAAGAATCATCATTCCAGAGAATCTTAGGTGGTGCAGGATTTCGTCCATCCACAGTATGTGTTTTGGTTGCTATCGTTGCATTATCATGCTTACTATTATGTATGTTCGTACTTCTAGACATGGCTCTTGGATTTTGGATGGTTAAACAAAAATCACGCTGTTTGTCAGCCAATATTTTTCTCATTTCATGGATTCAACTGTGTGTTGTCGATTTATGTCCTTCTTTCTGCCGGTCGTGTTGTTTGCGTCATTTCTTCTTTTTGTTTGCCTGTTGGATATCTTTCCTTATGTGGACTGTGCATCTATTTCAGCCGAACTCTAAGGCCTGTGGCTCGTGGCCTTGTAAGTTTTAAGGGATTTCCCAACAGGAAGACCGCGGAGCACGTGCTGCGGACCGACTGGACCCAGGATTTCGGGCAAAATAATATGATTAGGTATGTTGGGGAAGCCCAGCATACGTAGGGGGTGTGTCTATTTTAAGGTCGGACCCACCAAAATGGTGGGCTTCCCGTTGGTTTCACTTCAAAACCACAAAAAGGGTACCCTAAAAAAACAGACACACCTAGTGGTAGAAGTGTGTGACAAAGTGCTTGTCAAGTCGCAGGGTAAAATCTGGCCCATCGTGGTCCACAAGAAAGCCTTGGCAGAAGTGCTTCGCAGAGATGGCGGATATATTGCATTATTTAAGGCATGTGTCAAACATCAGGATCGGACCACACAAATGGCTTCGGTTGCCCTGTTGGTTTCGCTTCAGCCAACCTAAGGGTACCCTCAAGAAAACACATTTCCCAGACTGAAAGCAAGGGAACCCAGAGCTGGTTTCAACTTGTCTAGAAGGGTCAGAATCATCTCACTCGAGTCATAATCAAAATTCGGTACTAAAATGGTCAACCCAGAACCATGTAAAGAATTAAGGCGGCCGAAGCTATTTGTGGTTGGGATTGTCCCTTACTAACCTTCATCTACCCGGGTTTTGACTGTGGCTCACTTGTCGCGAGCCGCAACCAGGCACGTGGAGAAAGAGCATCACCAAGAAGTTGCGGCATAACATAGTGACCCTTTTCGAGGCGGTGCTTTGGGGTAGGCAAGCAGGTCTTGTCACAAATCCGTTGACCGAGAGCTTGAATACAAGAAAACAATGAGCCCATGGCAACCACCTACCCAATTGCACCATTGAAACAAAAACTGGGAAAAAGTCAGGACACCTTGAGAACCCCTTTTCGGCAGGGACCACCTCCCCCTTGTTGTCTTTTCGACACTGCCAAAACATTGATCCTTCAGCCGGACATACCGTCGCTGGACAACATCCACCAGTTTATAGGTGAGATATCTCATCATACTGTGGGTGGACAAACTCCTGCACAAGTTGTTAGGTAGTTTATCTCAGCATTTGCTGGGCTTCATTAACCATCCAAAGTGGTGCAGGAATTCGTCCACCAACAGCAGGGCTTCATGCATCTGTCCATCCGCCGTATCACCATGCCTCCCAAGTCCGCGCTTGGCGACTTTATCCTGCTTCAAAACCCCTTGCCATGGTAGCAAGAAACTAAGTGCTTTTGTGCAGCCCCGTACTAAAAATAAACAGAACACCAAAAGCGGAAAAAACGAGAAACAACAAAAACGAAACACAAGAAAAAATCACTAACAACCGAACAAAAACTTGATCCAAGAACATAAAAAAAAAAAAAAAACAAACACGCTTCAATCGAATTTTCCACTCTGCCAGCACCGCTCTGTGGGCCGTGTCTTTGGGCCCGAGCTAGCACCTTGGATCCTTGCCCACTCTGCGCGTGTGCCAAATAGCTCAATTCTGATCAGCTGGATTGGCCAGAAAAGGTCACTAAACTTTGTGTGTACCACTAAAATTGCAACCAAACCCAAAAAAGTGACTAAAGTCCGAAACGGATGTCAGGAAGTGAGACAGGCGGAACAAAGTCCAGTGGGTTTTTCTCAAACAACTTATCTCTGGTCCCTGCTTGATTGTCCTTTCAGGAAAACGAAAAACATCATGGGCTGTTTAGCAGCCTCATCTCGGTACGGGTTAAAATTACACCACCAGGATATGGATCGCAGGTATTAGTCCATGTACCAGGGAAACCTATTTTGGGATTACCGGGTTAGCCAATGTTTGACCCACCCCGACATGTGGAACCCGGATTAACCTCGAACCTTTGAAGTGTCCTTTCTTGCAGGCGAGTAATGATTGTCTGAAACCAGCAACGTCGATCCCCTTGTGCTTTTCTCCGGTGCGAACAAAAACACCAAATTAACTTGAATCGGGAAGCGGTTGCTAGACATTCGCATGGGGATAAACTACTGTGGACCAAATCTTGCATCACTTGGGTAGATGAAGCCCTATCAACAATGGAGTAGACCATCTAACAACTGGTGCAGGGACTGTCCATCCACAGTAATGTCCCCCAATAACCTGGTCAAATTTTCTTAATTCACCAGCTCAAACTAAGAGACCCCTGTGACAGAAACCCTGATCCCGTAGAAAAGATGGCCATTCAGCAGCCAGAGTGAACCTCACCTCTTTAGTGGATTGGCCAACAAAAAGCCACCGAATCTGCTATTTACCACTATATAACAGGGCAACCAAATCTAAGTGGCTAAAGTCCGAAACGAAACTCAGCGAGTGAGAAACGAGTAAACCCATCCAAGCACAGTGAATCGCACCCAAGTCCCGCCAGGCGGATTCGCATTTCAGGGCTCCACCTCCTCGCAATCCACCACCGAGTTCTTACTCTCCTGCTGGCTGACTGCTTGGCTCTTCGATTGGCCAGTTGTTGGTAACCGTTCGGTTATAGCCCACTCAGAAGTCCCCCCTATGGTGGAATTCACCCTGTTGCTAGCGAAACAAGAGAACAACCTCTTGATTCATATCTGAACCACTCAGAAAAAAAGAAAAGAAAAAGAACACATGTCAGCCAGGACCCCCACCCCCCCAACCCCTACTTTTTGGACAGTACTTGGGATTTTTGACATTGAACATAGAAGTTGTCGGGGTATGCCGGACAAATTCTGTTTCAGAGTTGGCTGCTCTCAGATAAACATAGCTATTGAATATTTTCAGATTCTGACAATTCAACTCATATAACATCGTTTTGGAGGAGATCTGATCTTGAAGAACCGGGTATAGCGAGCCCTTGAAAGCAACTCACACACGGTTCAAGGAGGCTTGTTCCAATCTCTTTCTGCATCCCCAGTTGGAGATGTCAGTTTCCCATCATCTCCTGAATATTGTCTAAATCACATCCCCAGGAAAACTGGCTTTAGGGATGCAACCAGAGAGATGTGAACAAGCTCCTGGACAAGAGACATCCAAAAGGAAATTCAAAGCACCCCTATGGCATCAGCTTGGGCTCTAGGGGTGCTTACTACCGCCCCTACCAAGCGAGCATTGGGCGGGGCCATACGATGGCAGGCCAAGTCAGGCTATGCTAAATGGGCGGGTTTCGGAAAGAGGCAAGAGCTATCCTGTGTCTTCAGACACGTCTACAAATAGGGGAACCCCATTTTTCGATTGGTCTCCTTTCAATTTCCAATTACAGCAACCCCGCACAGGGTACCACTAACAAAAACACACCCAAAGGCTGAACACCTTTAAGGCGAAACGATATGGATTCCCCGTTTATCGAAATTCGGGCCGAACAAAACCTAAGCCACGTGCTACCAATGGCACCTAACTCCCGTTTAATCACACAAACGTTTCAACTTCCCTCTAGATTGGTGGTTTGTAGCCCGGTGGTTCGGTCGTTTCCCATCTATACTCTACAAAAGCCAGGGGTTCATGCAACTCCAAACCACCAATCCACCAATTAGAGTTTACCTGAACATTGGCGTTCTCTAGAGTAGGGGACCCCAAAACCAATGGGATTCTTTGGACCTAAATTCAACCGGGCAAAGGATCCAACTCTTCAGCATCGACCTTTGTGCAAACGCCGGGTTTTGCCATAATTGTCAGGACTGGTGGGAAGTGCGGAACTGAAAGCCGTTGTCAAAGCATCCTGAACCTCCTGGACCCAAACACAACACAGATCGAACATCTCCTTTTTTAGCAAAGTGAAAAGAAGCAGCTGCCTGGTGTTGCAGGGCAAGCGCTTCCAGAATGAAAGTCCTAGATGCGCAACAGGTATTTCAATCATCCAGAGTTGAAACGCATCTCGGCACCCTCAGGGAAAGAAGGGTCCGAGGGTTGTTCCCCGAATTCCATTGGTCATTTCTTTCCCACCGCTCCCGAACAAAATCCGTATTTGGGCATGTGTCAAATGGGAGCACCCCTAAAATGGTGATCCTCCCTTTGGTTTCCCGCTAAAACCAGGTGAAAAAGGCTACCCTCAAAAACGCATAGCCCATTTCAATGGGGATACCCATTCCAAAAAAACACGGCACAGGTCCAGTTCTTGCCCTCCCGAGCCAGGTTTTCGCACGCCTCTCTGCGCAGGTCGGACCCCAAACCTCGGTTCTGCGGTTCGAGCGGGGGTCTAAGAGCTGTACTTGGGCGTTCGATTCGCCAACTGAGTAAGTTGGCAACCGTCCGGTAACCACCCACTTACCAGTGCCTCGAAGTGCATGGTCAGTGTGAAACCAAACATCAAAACCGTCAGGTGGAGCTCCTGACACTCCCTTTGATCTCTTGACTTGCCCTTCATTTTACTTCTCATTTAAAGAATTTCATCAAGTCCCAAGCTTTGGACCTTTGGACCTGTCTCCTTTGGAGAACAAAATAGATGGGTTTTTCTGGGACATGGGTGGCATAAAACCAATCCAAACCAGGACCCCTCTATTTCTAAGCCAACTAACCCAAAAAGGACACCGGTGCACCTTTGGGCGCACCAGTCTCTGGATGAAAACCAACCAAAGCAGTCCCAATTTCAGCCAGCTGGGCCCGCTTACCTACTGGAAAGGGATCCTAGAAGAAGATTCTTTGGGGTCCGTATATAATTGATAGATGACCTACTATATTATTCTATAATATGTAGCTTGCCTTATTTCCGAATTTCAGACACCAGAAACGTAGACAATCGTAAACATGTGCATCCTGATACTAACCTGGGCAGACTCTCGCACTGAGTACCAAGGCGTAGAGTTGTTCAGCCCACGAAGGCTGTCCCCTTCTTGGGGGGGTCAGACCACTGTTGGAGGAGAACATCCCCTATTCATTTCTTCCGGGTCAACATTACTCCATTGCTCCCTCTCATAATGGGATCGATGGGATATCGATGGGTACATAGGCTTTATCTGGTTTCCCTTTAACAGGGGCCACTGGATTTCCCCAAATCAAAGTTGATCAACTTACTGGTGGATTCTGCAACTGACACTGTTGAAGGAAGGGGAGATCGAGGGAGCCATGTTAAAGCAAACCAAACAACGGGTATATACCCTTCGCAACCCACCAAACTCCGGTCGTGAAGTTCGCAGAAACTTGAGGTGCTGACTGTCGGTCATCAGGGACCTGCGGATCGGAAAAGGCGCATGCGTTTCGGCACGCACGGGAGCCGTCAACCCTCTGTGGTAGCATGGGGTGTCCTTTTGGAAAAATGGATGGCCCTGGTAGTAAACCCACGGCACAGCGAGCTAACCAAAAAGGACACCTATGATTGGTAAGTGACATCTCAAAATCACGAGACTTCCAGAAATGAAATGGTTGGTTCCGCTTGTTTTCCCTCCACACCCAACTTGAAGGGGACTCCAAACAAAATCACCTCAGCTTTTGCCCACTGCCACGAATCATACGTCCGGTCCATGTTTAGCGAACCTCAACAATGTAACATGATTTCAAAAGAGACTCCGCTTGCTCCGGCTCCAGACCCCCCCTCTCTGGGATGGTCTTTAAGTTGACGCCTAATCAAGGAAACCCACCCACCGGTTGTTGAGGGCTTGGCACCCCACAAACTCTCGGTTGGTCAAGCTGACGCTGCAAGAGCATCCAAATGGCTGTCCAGTGACTGGTGGATCACTTTGGCAGTGGGCAAATCCATCCGTCATTGAGATTGGCCTTTGCAACCCGAAACACTCCATGTGTGGAAGAGCTATTTCCCCTTTAAATGGGCCAAATGTTGGGAACCAAGGGAAATATGGACACCTTTCTCTGTGTCAATCTCATGAAGCAATCCCACCCCCCGGTGGATTCCAGCCGCAATGGAGTGACCGCCAGTTTCAAACCATGGGTCCCTTGGTTCTCTACCTCAGTTCCCCAAAGGACCCAGAAAGAAAAAATATGCTCACCTCTTTTGCAATGACCAACATCGAAAGTCAAAAAGGGCTGGCTTTGGGCAAGTGAGCCATATACTTGGAAAATGAAACCACTGAAAACAGGATCAAAACATGTCTCTAGGGGTACCTTCCCTATTCTTTCCAGGGATCCTGGTTATTGAAAAGAACGATAGTTGAAAGGAATGGGGAATCAACACCTAGAATGTCTGGGCCCCCACAACTCTTGCTGCCAACCTCCGCCCAAAACACGACCACCGCCGCCTCAGGCCAGGCTTGGCAGCCTCGTCGCTCAGCCTCACGTAAAAAACAGTGACCCCGACCACCCCCACAGCGCTTTCTTTTCTGGGCTGCCCTCAGATCCCCCGCTAAAAGTTTAACTGTTAGCGGGCGAAATGGAAACTGCCACGAAACACCAAAAGGCTAAAAGGCTAAGGAACCGGATGGCTGGGTGCCACCAAGTGTTGGTCATGTTCATGTAGCTTGGCCTGAAGAAATGCCATGGGTGGTCGCACAATCCATGTGAATCGATCGGCATCAGTGGAGATTGCTGGTATAGCGCAGTATTCATAGCAGTACATCCCATCTAAGTGCGTGGATTTGGTAGCCATCCACAGGGGAGCGCCCAAAATTCATGGCGTTCCTTTTTAAACAGCCCCAAAAGGGCACCCTGAAACATGTCCGGGATAAGCGCATTGTCCCTATTTTTGGGATACAGGATAAGGGAATTGTGCCATCTACTTTCACCCCATCACACACGGGTTCGCTTGTGTTGATTTCAGTCTGGTTCGTTGTTTGTTTCCATTGGTGCCAAGCTCCTGTAAAAAGGCATTGCGTTAGAAAGGGGAAGATCCTACCCAAGCCATATATGCGGGGACTCCGCTTGTATTCCTTTGAGCATCCGCATCCTCCTCGTTGGAGGTGCTTTAAACAGACCTCAAGTCAAGTGAAGCTTGCTCAACGAATCACGCAAATCTAGAAGTCCATACACTCCGGCTTCATAAGCTTGTTCGGTTCCAATCAGGTCACCTGCGGGCCAGCATAGCTCACGAATGACACCCATCTATGAGTTTCCCCAAAGTTGAGAAAGAGTATCCCCGATTGAAGCTTGTAGACATTTGATCTTGTTCGGACCCCCTTTTGTGCGGTTGATAGACAAAATCAGCTTTGCATCACTTGCTGGCTGGTTTATGCCAACCAGTGCCTTTTATGCGGAGTTTGTACCCCACCAGTAGGGTGCCATGAGAAAAAAGAGTTGAACACCTCTTTAGGTTGACTTAAACCAAAAAAACAACAACCCATTGCAAAGATTCTGCCGACAAACACTTCTGCCCCATGGTTTCAAAGCGGTGCAAACTGACTTTGTCCATCCAAAGCTATGTTTCCTTTGGCATGGATTGAAGGGCAAACCGCAAGGACCACCCCCAAAGCGATCCAAGCTGATTGATGTGCAGTGCCCTGCGAAAAGCCTAGAGAAAACTCCACTTCGGTTCCCCATGGTGAATGGATCTGCCCTTTGTTGGCAAAGATTCCACAACCTGACATGGGTGGCTCGTCGTTTTCGAGGCTTCTTTTTTTTGGTGGTTTTAGCACGTTGTAAAGGGAAACCAAAGGATAAACAAACACCCACTTTGGTGGGCCCCTGAAAAAAACGACACGCCCAACTGCTCTGCAAGAACCTACTGGCGTGGCTCTTCTCGAATCGACGCATTTGGCAGATTGCACGTTTCGTGTCAGCCGCGTGACTGCCTTGGGCTCTCAGCTTCTGGGCTGTCCGTTTTCAGATCCTGGGAAAAGTCGATACCTGTTGGTGGTTTAAATTCGGAAACTACCACTAAGCCAACAAAACACAACTAAAACCATAGGAATCGGACGGCTGGGAACCACCATTATGTTCAAGAATATGGGGAAATTAAACTGCTGGGATGGACGAAATCCGTTCGCAACACTTTGAAACCATTTTGTTTGTATTTACAGGGGAATCGAACCATTCCAGGGCTTCTTAGGTGGAGGATTTCGTCGAGGATGGCTGGGAATAAAAATTTATTGGCATCCTGGAACAGCCAACTGGCGATTAAATCGAGGTGGAAGTACCGTGGAAAACCCCCACCTGTTGCAACCAGAAAAAGCCGTCAAAACTCGGTATGCAAATTACCAAGGGCGGGTGGGTCTTTTTAGCGGAGCCTTAAAATGGCAAGCCAAAAGGGGCACCCTCAACAACAGACACCGCCAGGTGCTCCCAACTTCTCCAGCAACCCCTCGATACTATAAAGAAGCATTGCCGGACTAGCGTGGCGGCTACCCCGAAGCTTGGCGGTACGAAAACTAGAGACCTCTACAGGCAACTTGACGCGCGTTCAGCTGGTCTTCCTGCAAACCATGATCTCCCGAAAGGGCATGGGAAAACAAGTGAGCAACCTTGTTGTTGCCGGCAAATGTGTGGGAGGCCCACCCTGCCCCCGAACCTCATATACAGATGGGGGAGAACCTCATGGTGGTTACCCTTACCTTGTTGGCTTGGCCAGAGGGCCTGGAAATACAAGGTCAACCTTTCGGAGCCTTCTGATCTGAAGCGCTCGTGGGTTCGTTCACTCCGCGACACTACTTTTAAAGAACCTTGACTGAAGATGGGCCAGAGCAAAGAAACCAAAACCTCCAATTACTTGAGACCCCCGGAAAAAAAGCGCGACCATATTTGCAATTGCGATAGATTCCCTTTCAAACCGACAGGGACGCATAAAAACTGCTCTTAAACCAATGGAAGAACAGTCAAAAGGACACCTCTTCGGATCTGTCGGTCTCGCTAGGCTGGGCGGGCGCGCTCCACGGAAGGCATCTGCGCGCTGAACGACTCGAAGAAGGCCTACCGGTCCAAGGCTCTGAAGGGTTCCAAGCAGGCAGGGTATGTGGAGGATAGGTAGGCCCAGTTATCGAATGTATACTTTGTTGTTTGCCTCACTTTGAGTCACTGGTAAAATGTCCGGTAGGTGGTTTATCCAGGTTACCCCATGGGGACAGGGTTTCCTAGATGTGCCCTTGAAACACCAGGAAAGCTCACACATGGGCCGAAAAAGTGTGGCTAAAACCACCAAACATGGAACCATACTGTGGATGGACAAAACCTTGCATCACATGGAACCCACGGGAAACCATTATCAGGGGAATCATTGAGGGATTTCTCCAGTGGTGCGAAGTGGATTGCGCAACGACCATGCCCCTATGTTACAAAAGGATGAGGCTCGGCCTTTTCCCCAAACAAAACCACGGGAAGATGACCCATGCCCTCAGAAAGATCTTAGTCTCTTGAAAAACAAAACAGAAACCTTGGGCCATCCCTGGCCAATTTATCACTGTACATGGGGGGCTTGTGTTTTTGAGGCGAAGGGTACTCCTGCTCAGGTTTGCCTGGGGACTGAAACCATCGTCCCTGTTTGGACACACCAGATTCCCATGGCATCACTTTCTACATGTGACTGGCAAACACAACAAAATCCTGATGACAGAAGGAAAGTACACAGTTTCTGAAAAATGACAACAATTGCCACACACTCCGCAGCGAAGATACCCAGACAGGAGCTCTTCATGCATGCCACCCCAATGGGCGCCGGCCGTTTGCCTTTGGAGAGACACCCCGGGTGTCTGTTTTGATTGCAAACCGGACGTGCCAGAAGCCCAGAAGCCCTCAAGATCTGAACAGCCGCAGAATGAAGCTTTTGCTGTCTCCTAAATGATCCGTTTTGGAGCTGGTGGACAAAATCCGCAAAGCGCTGAACAATCCGCAAGCCCCCCTGAGCAAAAGGTCTACCCTGTTGCAGATCTAGTGGAAAAGCCATTTGTTTCCAAAAGGTCTAAAGGTCGATTCGGTCACACCAAAGACCAGCCATGCAAACAATGGGATACACCATCATTTGTAACCATCAACTGTTCCTTTCCATCAGGATCCGAGACAAGCTTTTCTTTAACATTCAAAGCGGAAATCAGGAATCCACATTGCAAGGACCACAATAAGTGAGCCAGTTTACCCCGGAATGGGTGAGCTTGTTGTCTAAAACCTTGACAAATGCATTCCATGAGGAAGTCCATTTGAGCCAGAATCGAATTCCGATAGCAACAATGGCCCAAAACCATGCAAAGAATTGAAAAGGCGGCCGCGCCCCTGGTGTGGAACGTTCCGCGGTGACGTGGACGTCTGGAACGAGTCAGATACGCAAGGTCGGTTGTTCCGGACCTCTGGGAAGACATGCGTGGAGTCCAGTGTATAAATGGATGGATGAATGGATGGATGGGTAGATGGATGGATGAAGCGACCAGGGTTGCGCGGAATCACCTCCCCCGCCATCTCGCGTCATTGGGACACCGATGCGCTGTAGTCAGGCCCGCCACCCGCGCCAGCCGATGCACAAGGCTGGGAGGCGTAAGCCGATGTCCACCGATGCGCAAGCCGATGCAGGGCATCATTCAAAGACTTCTTTGTCTCCAAAGCCCTGGCACATGTTGTCCTTGAAGGCTTCTTGGGTGGCGGGCCACGTAAGAAAGGCAGCTACTCACATGGCGCAGGTGTGTGTGCATGTGGGCTTGGTGGCAAATTGCTCCGCTGCGTCTGGAACGGGTCTGGAACGGGTCTGGAACGGGTCTGGAACGGGTCTGGAACGGGGTCTGGAACGGTTACGCGAGTGGCTTGCGCTTTGGAATGCTAGCAAGCAGCATGTAAATATGGTCGTTGAAACAATGTGACGACCGAGAACGGTATCGGACCGTTACTGTATCGTATCGAACCGATAGCGGCGGAATCGTGCGGCACCGAACCGAACCAAAGTTCGGGAACACCGATACTCCTTTCTTCATTTCTTTTTTGCTCCTTTGTTGCTCCTTTGTTCCTTCTTTTTGCTCCACACCATTTCAGTCTGTGCCATTGCACTTGCACACCCGACAAAGAACGACCGTCTGAATCAATACTCTAGACATAAATATACATAAACAAGGTCTGGAACGGAAGGTCTGGAACATGTTTCTAGGCAAGGTCTGGAACGGAGGTCTGGAACGGAGGTCTGGATCGCATGTGGGTTCCGGACCCTGTTCCGGACCTTATAAATTGACTCGCAGCCATTTATGGCTGGGATTGTCCCTTACTACCCTTCAGTTCCTCGGGTTTGTTGCCCTTCCTTCATTAACATGGCACCTGTGGGGTGGCATCTGGAAGATCAGCTTCCTCTTGGATAGATCCCCTGTCAGGTGCCATGGCAACGTGGGAGAGAGGGTATAGACATTTTCCGTCAGGAAGTCCATTTAATGACCCCTCACCTGACTATACTGTTGTCGCTTTGTGTGCGGCGAGTGCCCATTGCAGTTCTGGTCAGGGTAGACTCCAAACAGATTTGGGGTTTCAACCTGGAACTCGCGCTCGTGCAGATTGACGAGGAGCCAAAACACACCGCACGCTGTTCGTTTCTCTACCAGAAAGCTCGTTTGGCACAGCGGAATTCTTCTTGGTTCCATCTGACTGTGCTGGGAAGTATGATTGACAATCTCCGCTTGTCAAGCACGTACCTTTGAACAGTGTCTTTAAATAGGATACGCCTCTCAAAGGAAACCTGGGTTTCCTTTCGCTTCCCGTTAAGACAACCCAAACGAGGGTACCATCAAACCCAACACACCTACCGGCGAAAGGCGAGCAGTCGGGCGAAAGGCCTTGGCATCAGCAAAGCGCGGCTTCTCACGTCCTGAGCGATCGCGTAAGCCGGCTTCGGCAGTCGGGTAACAAATAAGGTTCGCATTGGCAACACTCCGTTTGAATGGCTACGTGACGTGCTAAATGGGCACCATCAAAATGCCGGCTTTCCTCTTGGTTTTCTTTGAAACCAAGCCTTAAACGTGTAGCCTCAAAACAACACCAACCTAAATCTCGGCAGGTGTGTGTGTGTGTGTGTGTGTGTGTGTGTGTGTGTGTGTGTGTGTGTGTGTGTGTGTGTGTGTGTGCATGTTCTACAGCTGCCTGCCCCACAAGAAGTCAGCGCTTCTTATTACTACGGGACACTGCTCAGCGAGTGCGCACATCATCAGACCAACGTCTCAAGCCAGGGATGCGTCTGTCAACACACGCATTGGGTGACCCGTTGAAACGGTTCTAATCAATGGGTTCCTTTCGGACGCGGACAAAAACACATGCTTGTCCTTTGGCGCAAGTGATCGGAATCCGATTTGATTGGAGCCCATTCTTGGGTGCTATAGATCGCCCAGCAAAAAGTTTAACTTTTTGCAGGTTAAAGGGAATTATGAAGGGTATCCAAAAAGTTAAAGTCTAAAGATCCAACCCAAAAGCACTAGAGCATTTAGGATCCCCTGAAGTTCAACAGTTCGAGCGCCTGTGGCTTTCAAGCCATCGATCCAATGGTCCTGTCTGCGGGTCTTTGATGCCAGCGCTGGCATACCTCACCGCAAAGAGTGGCCAGGGCTCGGACACCGCTGCTTTCTTGGCTCCCTTGTAAAATGTACATGGGACGGCAATACAGTTTTTCCAGCCTCTTCGTGGTCGAAGGGAGCAAAGAATAATAAGTTTGATGGTTGTACAGTTTCCTTTGCTTTCGTTGCTCCCTTTTGTTACAGTAATTCCAAACCGGAAAAAAGGGGATCCCCAAGTAAGTAACCTTCAGCATCTAACAGAATCTGAAACAGGAGTCCACAAAACCAGAGCCGCAGCTTAAAAGTATGTCCAAGGAAGAACCCTTCTTTGAGGGCAAAACATCTTGGCCACCAAAAGATGGCAAGGGGCCTAGCCAGAGTTGCCGCAAAACTATGCCACAAAAAAGAGGAGGTTGGAATCAATGCCGGAGATGGCAATGCCGGAGATGGCAAACCACATCCGGTCAGTCAAGGTCTCCCAGATTGTGACGGCGCAGCAATGGGCCCCACACCACTGCAAAGGCCGTAGTCTCCCGTCCCATCGGGCCTTGTCCAAATTCCATGCTTTCGTCCCAGCCCCCCCCCCCCCCCCCGGTGACTGACACAGGTATAGGAACCACGCTCAGAGGAACCCATCGATGTTTCACCCCCGTGTCCTTTCTCACAGGGTCCCTTCCAAGATCCTGCAAATATTCTTGCTTCCTGAGTGGGCTGGCCAAAACAAGTCCAGCCTCCTTGCCACTAAAATGGTCTGTCTCCCAATAATTCAATAGGAGAATCCTAACGGTTGGTGTTTTCCCTTTAGTTTCCCTGCAACGCAATCAGAAAGGATATCCTAACAAAAAGACATCCCCAGTGGCCCCGAGAATAGAACATCATTGGATGAGAGCCCAGGGAAGCGCTCAGTTGCTCCCCAAAAGCCAGCCACCCTAAGAGTCCCGAGGCTTGGTATGCAGAACCCGGGTTCACCGTATCAGAGTAGCCTATCAGATCTGCCTATGTTGGCGGTGTCAAACGGACCTACTGTAGGGGTGCCACAAGGACCTATTCTTGGGGCTTCATATGCGTGTCTCTTGTTTGAGGGTACCCCTGTTCTTCTGGTGTCAAGGGAGAACGAGCCAAACGGACTGCCTAAAAAAGACACCCCCCATATTCCATTCGGACCCAGACACGCCTGGTGTCGTCGAGCTCGGCGCTCGGCGCTCGGCGCTCGGCGCTCGGCGCTCTGAGACTCTGGCGCATGCAGCCGCAGCCGCGCCACCGCGAAGGCGACACCTCGAACGCTCCATGATTTGAGTTAGGCCCAAGTATATGTTATTGTTTGCCTCACTTTGAGTCACTGGTAAAATGTAGAATGTATCCTAAGTCTACCTGGCTCGGCCCTCAAATTACCTGGAACAGGGCTGCTTGAGGGTCCAGGCGTAAAGCTTGTGCGCCACAACATGTTGCGTCGCGTTAGAGCGGCTCCAAGCAAAGAATGCTTGCAATTCATGCGCTGCAATCATGCTTCATAATGTGGATGGACAGAATCCTGCACCAGTGAGTTTTACCGAGATTGAGTTATCCCGTGCGATTTCGTCCGCTATGGTCGACACGGTTTCACTCCGCGCCTTGCCACATGGAAACCTTGATCAAAAGGTCTTTGGTACATGGGATGACCATTAGGGAAATCAAAGCGGGTTTCGACGTTCACCGCACGGCAAAAGTTGCCCATTGGTCATTTTGCGGCCGAAGGGAAGATTGATCAACCCCCACACGGAAAGCTTGCTTACAACTTCACTGTCGCCAGGCTCCAAATGAGGCCGCTGGGTCCTGCCAGTCGCTTCCAACGTTGCTATTGGCATGGCGTAAGCGCATTGGCGAAATAGGTTCGTGTGTGGGAGGAGAGAATTCTCGGTTCGGACTGCAAAGCCACCATTCCCAGTTGCGTGCTAAACCACGAGTAGGTGCGAGTGATTGAGTCCTGGTCATCAGCTGGTTTATGAGTTTGGTGGTGGCTAAACAAACTTGGATGCCGGCGGTGCGTTGTATAGTGGGTGTCTCTGAAAATGGGGGACCCTCCCAAAATGGCTGGTTTTCCTTTGAATTACAAAGTAAGCCCACACAGGGGAAACAAAGCCTCAAAAGGACGCAAACATATAGGCCTTTCTGCAACCCCCCAAACACTAAGAACCATCCAATGGCCTTTTTGAGGGCTTTTTGAGCTGCTCTCACAATCAGATGGTGCGCGAGGCAAGGAACCGGGAACTGCATGGGAAACCATGGAGGATGCAAAAAGGCCATGGAGGAAACCCAGTGCAAGCCTGCGGAGCTTGGATGTTCGATTCGCCAAGTCAAGTGGTTATTCAAGCCACTAACCTTGTTCTGGATGTATCCGAACGGTTACCATTACAATTTGCTAGCTTGGCGAATCCAACAAACAAGTTGTGGTGTCCGTCCTTGAGACCGGGATATGCCAACAAACGGACTGTTCTTTTCCGCACGTGTGCAGTCGAAACTCCGCATGTGGTGCTTGGTGTTTCCCAGGATTATCCCTACGTTCATTCGCGTCTTTTCAACTATGCCCACCATTCGACAGATACGAGGGGAAACCAGTATCCTAGGCTGTCCAAACTGATCCCCTGCTAAAAGTCACTAACTTTTGGTGGGTTAAATGCGAAACCCAACCACTCAACCAACTAAAAACTTCTGAACACCTAAGGATTAAACCCAAGCCCAAACACCTAAGGACCTGATGGCTGGTTGAACCACCAAGCGCCTCGCTCATAGCAACAGCCCAGCTGGGCCCAGCGCTTTGCTGAAACTTCCCAAGCTCCTGAGGGGCATTTCCAAGCTCAAAACCAAGGCGCCCCATACAAAGGCGACCCAAGATAGGCGTGCCTCAAAATAAGGGGGGCGACTCCAAAATGGATCCAAATGGATTGTTGGATCACCATTATTCCAGGGATCTCTCTTAGACATCACTCAAAAGCTGGCCGCAATTTGCTCGACGAAGCAACAGTCAGCAGTCTTTCCGAGCCTACCTTTTGTGTTTTTCCAACATGGTCACATGGAAGAAACAAAAACATGTTCAATGAATGGTCACATGGTGTTTAGTGGCGTAAGCTTTTGAACCTTTTCTCTTGTGGCCTCTAAGTCCAGGAGACGCTCGGATTGAGTGCCCTAGACTCCGACTGGCCATGCGACTTTTGCCCCTCCCACAGTTACACTCGAGACCGAGCCTCGACATCGATGCAACTCTTTTTGAGTCGGCTCTCTGTTTTTTGGTTTTTTTGTTGGAAATCAAGAGGAGCACCACCATCTTGGGCTCAAGCCAGACCATGCCAGGGGCTGTCAGCCTCCCGCCTGCTGGTTTGGAGCCCGCTTTGGTGGTTGAACCAGGGCTTCGGAGCAATCCCCACCAATTCGAACCAGCAAACCAATCGGCCGGCAAGGGCCGTTCCGCATGAGGCTTGGGTTGGAATCAACAGATAAAAATGTAACCGACCTGAGAGCACTTCGAGGCCAAAGAGGATCAAATAAGTAGGGAGCCCCTCCATTCAATGTAAAACTGAAGGGGACCCAAAAGGAAGGGTTCCCTCTTTGCTGCCTTAGTTTGCTTAACCCCCTTCATGAGGTTCATACTCCTTTCTTCCCTTGGGCAGTGGTTCATAACCCAGCTCCGTTTGTCTTCTTGTGGGGAACCCTCTTCTTGGGTGGTACTCTAAGGGAAACCAAACAAACAACCCAAATTTGATGGATGGGCCCCCATTTTAAGACAAACCTTTTGGGGTGGTTTGAAGAGAAACCAAAACAAACACCAAGCGCAAAGCAATCAGCGAACTGTGCCGCTAGCCCAGGGCCTTCTGCGTCTCATCAAGGCGCAGGCTCTTGCAACGAGTACCTCAAATGCGGGAGGTGGTGCTTGGTTGAGGGTACCCTTCTTAAGGTGGTTGAAAGGGAAATCAACAGACATATATTCTGTTGGGGGATTCCCGCGACTTTGAAGCGGTTTTCGGGGGAACTGCAAACCAGATACTTCTTTAGGGGAACTTTGAAAAAAACGACGTGTTTTGGGGCTCCCTCACTTTGAGGCAAAACCAGGTTTCGTCTCACAACAGGGTCGAAGTAGATGGCACAATTCATTCCCTTGACGTGGGGTGAGTGGGGTGAGGCCCAAATGGGTTGGAATTGTGCCATCTACCTTTGTCAAAAAAACAATTGAGGCATATCCATGAGGCATAGCCTCTAAACATGGTTACACAGATCCGAAATTCTGATGTCCAGAAACTCGGTCCCCTGCAACCCACAAAACAGCACAGGGAGGTAGCCCCCTATTGAACGAGCCTCTTACTTAGTTCTCAGATTCCTGGGTTCCCTACGGGCTATAGGCTTACAAGAAAGGGTAGAAAACCTCAACCATGGGCCGAGCTCATGGTCTCGTTATTTTTCCAAAGATACATGGGAATGTGTCAAAAGGGGAAATCTGGGGTGGGTGTTCGTGTTGAAACCCATTTATATATAACCATGCCTTCAAAAAACAGGCGTCTGTACAGTCTATGTGGGGAACCTCCTGTTCACTTTGCTTCCTTTAAGTATCGCGCCAGAAGCAAAATCACTTGAGTTTCCCTCGCTTCCTGAGTGGATTGACCTAAAACAGTGCAAACTGTTTGTTAACCCAAAAAGGAACTCCGGTGATGTTTAAAGCTTCTGTTTTTTTCGAGGGTGGTCTTCAACTTGGCGACCCAGGACCCAATGTTGGAACTCTCCCAAGGGAAGCGTGCAACGGCCACGCCAGATGATCCGCCACGGATCGATCCGGTCGTTTCCGCCTGGAAAAGGCGACCTTGGCAACTCTGGGGTACACCAAAGCTCATAGTTTCAGACTCTGTCATATTTAGTCACCCCTAAAAATATGAATAACTTGGCAGATATTCATGGTTTTCTGGGTGGGTGTCATGCTCTGAGTCTGAGAGAGACCCGTCTTAAATGCTCTACTGGCACTGAACATCACCCCAAAGTAGCTGAGAGCTTTACCAGGAGCGGCATATACTGTAGGCGTGTCTATTTTGAAGGGGAACTCACCCAAAAAATGTGGTTGTCCTTTTGATTTCCCTTTAATTTCACCAAAACCGGGTACCCCCAAAAGACAACACACCAATATTACATGTGCAGGTCTCCGCGCCGCTCGGAGCACGCGCGTTCTCAGGCGGCTCTTCGTGCGCGCACTGTGCATCTCGCTCAGCTCCTCCAGAATCTCACTGATTTCTGTGGCTTGCGCTGATTTCTGTGGCGTGTGCCGAGCGCCAGCCGCGATGCACCTTCCCCGGCAGCTGTGTGGCAGCAGCAACTGCCAGGGCTCGGATATGGTTCTTCTTGTTTGGGTCATGCTGACCATCCAAGCTGGGGTCCGCCGAAGTGAAGACAGGATAGAACTGCCCCGGCTTCAGCAAATCATCGAATCTACCCCCCCCCCCCAACACTGACTGTCTGAGTGGATTGGCAAGAATAATGTCAATCTTCTTATTTACCACCAAAATGGTTTTCCCAACGAGCTTAAAGTCCAAGAACTCAGGAAGTCAGAAACATCATAGAAGTGAACATGGGCTTCCACAAAACGAAGGTCATCTTCCAAAACCCTTCTTTCAGCTTCCATGATTAATGGAGGGAGGGTATGCGGATGACCCGAAACAGACGCGACAGGGGAAGTGTCCTCTCATGAGTTGGGTTGCAAACCCCTGGTTGATGTATACGGAGGCGTCACATTTCAAGAGGGAATCTTCACATCCGGGGTCGACATGATTCTGCAACATTTGCAATAAATCCCGCACCTATTCGGTGAAATCCACTCAATCGGCGTATTAATATAGAGGTGCTCACAACTCCACCACCTGAAGCAAGAAATGGGCGCGTCTTGTTCTAGGGGAGCACCAAAAACATGTGGTTGTTTCATTGTAGTTTCTATGTAAAACCACCAACTACACTCAAAATAGACACGCCCAAAGAACCTTCATCATGACTTTCGCTGTTTCGCCCCAAAGGCAGCTCGCCGTGCAGAATCGGCGGAGTATGTTTGAGGCACCCGTCCCTCCCCGAAAGCTCAACGGAGCGAGCCGCAGTGGAAGAATATGCTCAAGAGCGGCCAGTCCAGCGACGGCCTGGTCAAGGAATCGAATCGGATTGTCCGTGGCAAACCAAACGAGTTGATTCCCATGACCACAGGTGTTCTTTTGGAAAAAAGATGGGTGTCCCTGGTAGATGGATGGCATAAAACCAATCTAAACAGAGCGCATCTATTTCTATCACTGACCTAAACAGGACACCTATTCCCATGACGATGTTTGAATATTCGAAAGCCTGAAATGGGTGTGTCTTTCTTTTAGGGTACCCCTTTTTAGTGGCTTAAACACTTAAAAGGAATACGTCAATTTGCGGGATACCCTTATTGTGAGTCACACCCAAATAAGGAATCCCCGAGTAGAGGAGCTTCATGATGGTGAGGTCGTTCTGTCTCCAGGTGAGCTCGCAGAAAATCGGCAGATGTTATGTGAGTTTCAGGGAGCCTCCCTTGGTATCACGGAATGGTCTCCAATTCGGGTGTAAGGGGCTGAATAATTCAGAAAGGGACCTCCTGCAAAGGTTGGGTTTGCTGCAAGCGTGTTCTCGTTTGTTTGACCTCCCAGATCCTCCCAGGAGGTCCCGCTGACACATGGCAGAATATGGCAAAGCTGGTTGCTTCGCTCCCTATAAATCCTCCCCCCCTTTTAACACATACCCTCCTGTCCACGTTGCCATGGAACCCGCCAGACAGGGAAGATAGTCTTCCAGGACTGATTACTTAGTCAGGTTCCATGGCAACGTAGACAGGAAACTAATTGCGCAAAGTGTTGTCATGACCATGACTTAATGAAAAGGGCGCTTCACAAATTATATAAGGGTTTCCTACTGTGGGTGGACAAAATTTTGCATCACCTGGCAACCATGGGACACCATTGTTTGTTGGTATCTACAGGGGAATCGTCCTTCCAGCTGGTTCCTTAGGTGGTGCAGGATTTTGTCCATCCCCAGTATGAAACCCAAGCTTTTTCGCAGCTCTGAATCAACCAAAAGCTGTGTGACCACCGCCCGCGACAAGCACCGCCCACGAGTCGACCTATCCCATGGCACCGACCGGTCCACCAACCTACACTCCGGGACACAGCCCGCTGAGTCCGCGGAGTGCTATGTCTCCGATCCAATGCACAGGGGTCATCGGATGTCAATCCAAAGTTGCAATTGACTCGCCGCTTCCATTGAAACGATCGCCACTTTTTGTAGCTCCAAGAGGGGACAGCTGGGAACCGCCAAGACAAGACCTCATTGACTCATAGCAGTCACAGAGAAGGACTCAAGCACAGCTGCTTTTGGGCCATTTCAAAGAGAAATGTAAGGGAAATAATTTCTTTGGGGTCTTTTATTTGAGACGGGGTGCTGCAACCCGCGCCAGCCGAGCGCGCCTCTCCAGCTTGCCTGACGCGCAGAGGCTCGCAGAATGGCAACTCGTAAATGGTAGAAAGGCGCCGGAATCAACTATAGGGGTTGATTCCCCATTCTTTTCAACCAGCGTTCTTTTCAAAAAACCGGCTGTTTCCCTTGGGTTTTTGATGGTTTCCTGAAAAGAAGGATCTCTGGAAAGAATGGTGCCATCTATGTTCACCCAATCTGTGCCCTTTGGTGTTGTGTTGAGAAATTGGCAATTATCCGGTGGGTTTGTCTCAAAACAGGGTTGCCCCCAACACATTGGCTGCTTTCCTTTGGTCTTCCTCACGCTTTACGGGAAACGCTCCCCAAAAGTTCAGACCCAAAGTGAATAGGTTTTCCCCTGGCTTCCCTTTCAACCATCCCGAAAAAGAGACGCGCCATCCCAAAGAGACGCGCCTGGCTGGACTCCGCTGGTCGTCAGGGCATCGCAGCCATCCCTGGCGGGTGCCCGGACCCGGAAGCCGGCGAATGTCAGTCCCTTGAGACGGCAATGACCCCAAGACTTCAGGGCAGGGAGGGAACAAAAGTCTAGAAAACGGTTTGGATGCACCTTTGTTAGTGTTTTTTCTAGCACTCTTCTGATATTATTATTCTAGAGGGGTAGATCCACAAACGCCGCATCCAAAACGTTTCCTAGATGCGGGAATCACTCGATTTCCCTCACAAAGGGTGCATCGTTTGGTCGCACTGCAGCCTTTTGGAGGTTCTAAAAAAAGGAAATGAAGGAAACCCTGTAGCAGGGACCGCCCCCTCCCCTTTTGGATGGATGGAAGGGGAGGGGGTTCCGACACTTGCTGCCAAAATGCTTCTTTCCGTCCTGCCCCCTAGGCCCCGAAACAACTCCCCCCATGATGTCACTTGACTAAGTATGAAAATTGATATGATCCGAGAACTGGGTGGTTGTCCGTGTGGTCTCCGTTTAAACCAACCCCAAAAAAGAGCACGTTCAAACAACAGCCCCACGAGTGCACAGCCAACAAACCCCGCATCACCCCCTTGCCTCAAAGCGCGCATGAGCAGCACCGATTGAAAGGTCCTCAATCGCAATGCGTGGTGATTGACCACATCTGGGAACTTTGGGTACTCCCTCAATTTCGACTTGCACCTACAGCGGAGGCCTCTTGGTGAAGGGAACTTCTGTTAGAACAACTATGCTATGTGGTCGTGATTGAAAATGACCACGGACCTGTCACCTCTAGCTAGTATCTCAAAGGCCTGCCACTCACGCCAGACACAAAGGCTTAGAGGGCTCACTTTCTTGGAGGTGCCACACAAACATCACTCGATTTTTTTGCCAACTGATGGCCGCTAGAGACTGGTAGCTAATCAAGACCTGCTTGAATAATACTGACAGTACTGCGAAGTTGCGACTTTCGAGCCTGAGCTGCCAAACTTGGTATACTGCATGCGTGCTGAAAGGAAGCTTGCGCCCAACTTGCTCTCCGACCGTTCCGGCGGAAACCCAAAAACAAGAGGCGGAAGGGCCAGCGCAAGGCGCTTGCGCGAGGGAGCAAAAGATACAGCTTGGCAGCTCCGGCTCCACCACCAACGCACGTCATGCACAAACACATCGGTGGATGCCCTACATGGAACAAGTGAACGCCAACAAAAAACATGTAGGTTACCGGGTCACCACTGTCTTGCGGCTCCGTGTGCGTGCATATGCAATAGATTATCCTACAAGTTGCGACGCAAAAGCCCCAGCAAAGGGCAGTCAATCGCACCAGCTTCACGTATACACATGCTTCCCAGTCCTGCCCCATAACTCACAAAAAAAAGAACACACTTGCTCAAAGGAAGGTTAAGCTTCATGAAAAGGTTGCCCTTGATCTTGCGCCTTCTGCCCCCCCCCTCCTGTGTTAGGTTTACTGAACACTTGATCTCCTGCAACATTTGGCTCAAGGCCCCTTTTTGTGTAACATTGCATCATTCATGATCGCGTGAAGCAGAAAGAACCTTAGCAGGCCGCTTACAGGATTATCCACAAGACAATCCACCAGGGACAATCCATCCTCCAATCATCCACAGTGGCGTATTGGATTCTCTCCGGAATAGATCCAGGGACCAAATCAACGACCTCTACTACCACAGGGTACCAGTTCCCTTTTGGGATAGGCACCTGGGGCAGTGGGCCTCAATTTGTGGTAGCGGAGCGGGTTTTCCGCAGAGATCCAAGGGAAGATGTTATGCGATGGAGAAGGCTTCATGGAAGCCTATTCAAGTATGGCCAAAAATCCAGGCTATACGGAGGAAACACTCAATTTATTGATGACCGCCACCATCGTACGACGGAAAAGTCAGCTGGTTCAGGTATGAAGAGCTCGTGGACGACTGGGTGACAATCACAACAGTGGAAGCACCCAAGAGAGGACCTCTGCTCAAGAGCAGATTGACCGGAGATGCATATATGTACAAGGCAGTCCTCCAAAACGACCTTTTCCAAGATCCTGATGAAGGAGTCAACTATTTCAAGAACACGCTGAAGAAGTGCTTTTTGAAAGGTGCGACCAACGTGTATCTGTACAGGCTCCTCAGTTTCTTCCATCATCGAAGGCAGAACCAAGAGTTCCTCATTTTTACCTCAAAATTCGAAATCCTTCTTATGAGATTGAAGGCAGCATGGATGGACTTGATGCCCGTTTTCACGGCACAGTCCCCAACATTTCGACAATCCGTGCAGGAAGCATATGCAAGAACAATTGCTCGACATCAGCAAGCAGCCGGTGTTCGAGCACCGCCTCCAGCCCTGCTCAATGAGGAAGTCCTCACACAGTATATCCAAGGAATGCAGGACAGACAGCGGGACGCATTTCCCTTCGGGGATAATCTCATTGCACAGTTTTTCATCATTCAGAGTGAGCTGTCAGATCAGCAAAGAGAGAGACTGACAAGTGCAATGTCACTGAGAAACATCTCACTAGAAAACTACTCCTATGAGATGCCGAAGACGCACTACCATGAACTCTTCATCACGACGAGGACATCCATCCAAGATCCATCCATCCGACCCCAAGGAGGCAACCGAAGCAACACATTCATCATCATCGAACAAGGTGAATATGAAGGAGAAAAAGGCTTCTGGGTTGAGAATGAAGAAGGGCTTGAAGGATTCATGTCAAACAACGATGAAGAGACATTCTGGGTCCTCGAGGAGAACGATGCGTTTATAGCAAGGAAAGTGCCGGGGCGGAACTTCAAATTCAAGAAGAGAAAAGAAAAAGGAAAATCAGGAAACAAAAAGGGCAGTCACCAACGAGGTGGCTTTAAACCCTTCAGAAAAAGCGGTTCTGGCGGAAAGGCCAGAATGGCCAACGAAAACTATGATCCCTACGACCAGGCATATTGGGGAAAAGGCAAGGGAAAGAAGGGAAAGAAAGGAAAATCAAAATTCCAATATCCCTATGATGGAAACAAGGGCTATCCATCCTATGAGAATGGCAAAGGAAAGAGCGGACAGGAGAAAGGAAAATCCAAGACGTTCGCAGCCAGCGCAGAGAAGACGGAGGAGCAGCCCGCCATCCAGCAGACTGCACCATCCATAGAGCCTACCTATGCCGGTTGGACAGACCAAGGCTGGGATCAATCATGGACATGGAACGAACATGGCTGGTACTCCCATGAGACATCCAGCACAGGACAAGCGTTAATGGCATTCCATGATGCATATGAGCATCCTGGGAAAAAGGCCATCCACGGGAAGATCCAATTAGATACAGTTTCAGAACACAATCTGTCCGTCACAACAAATCACAGCCTTCTGGCAACAAAGCTGATGGCGCCTGTCATCAACCCTCAGCACAACCCGACCTATGCGATTCTGGACAATGGATGTACCAGATCTATGGGCAGCTGGGCATGCAATCCAGCGTTTTACTCAGGCCATCGAACCAATGAAGGACATCATCTCCTATCAGTACATCCCGGCCGAGACCAAGTTCACTTTTGCAAACGGAGAGACCGCCAGGGTAAATTGGACCCTGCATCTTCGATATCACACAACTCCTCCATGCAGTACCAACATCGACGTCCTTGAACAAGGAACTGTACCGATCCTCCTCAGCATCAGCCAGATGCGGAACCTCTACATGACCATCACACACCTCCATGTGACAAGATCACATGCAAAGCCTTTGGCATGAACCGTCAAGCAGTTCCAGTATCCGGTACAGGACATGCACTGGTAGATCTCGCTGGAGTTGCAAGAGTGAAGGTGCATGGAGAAACTGCTCACAAGGGCCTCACCAACTATGTCTATGACGATGATAACAGCATCAAGTTTCCCTCCGGGGATCTCACCCAGAGCGAAACTGTTTGTGCAGCAAAATCATCCGAGACAAAGGAGGACCTAGCAACTCCTAAGATCATTGGGTCTCAAAAGCAGGACCATTGGATCCTTGACAAGAAGAACAAGCAGCTCATCCGTGTGCACATCACGCCCCGAAAGGCGCTGTTCACACCAAATGGAGCCAAGGAGTGTCCAATCAATCCTGATCACATTAGCCGAGAACGTACTACGGAAATCATTGATGCATCCGCACAGACATTCTAGAAGACAATTGGAGACTTACATCCCAGGCAAACAAACCAATGATTAACCTGTGGACAGGTAAGACCATTTTCACCTTCGCGGACAATTCGCTTAAGGACGAAGAAGCAAGTTCAGGATCGGCAGCAGACAGGATCATCGACAAGAGGGGCCGGTCGACCATTGAGCCAGATCCTTTTACACCATCCTCAGATGAACCAATATCGCTTCCGCTTGCCCTAGGCAGAATCCACAAGCGATTGTCAAATCCCGAAGAGTTGAAGAAACTCCACCTACAGCATCATCACATGACAACAGATCAATTTCGATTTAGAACCCGCGCACTTCGTTTGCCGCAATCAACATTCGATCTATTTGACAAAACCCGAAGTGAGTGTGAAGTTGGCCAAGCGGCAAAACATGCACCGTCACGAAGCAAAACAAGTGGACTTCGAGCGGACACCTTTGGTGACATGACATTCATTGATCACTGTCAAGTTCCTCTTGGAACAGGAGAACACATCATTGTTTTTGTCATCCTGGATGGAGCAACAACATTGCTCACTGCAGAGGCAGTGACAACTATACGCAAGAAGCCGAGAACATCACTGTCCTCAGGAACTATTTTGACCAGTACCACTTGCAGCCCAAATCAGTTGTTGCAGATCAAGCCTTCATGACAGATACATGGGAACATTTCTATCAGTCGCTTGACATCACACCGATATCCTTGGGACCGAATACACCATGGCCAAATCGAGCTGAAGCAGCAGTTCGACTCCTGAAGGCACAACTCAAGATCATGCTAAGTTCCATCAAGGCAGGTACAGCACCTGCAACACTGAAGAAAGTGACACACAGGCAGCTAGTGAAGGCCGCTGCAACTGTCCGGAATCAGACCGTCACCTACGGGGGTGTAACACCATTGGAGCTCGCATTCGGAAGACGACCAGCAGATCTCATCCAACTCGATGTCGCAACACCAACTCAGTTGACGGTTGGCAGGAATGAAGAAGAGCTGACAGCCATCCAGATCAAGCAGCTGTCAAAGCAAGCTTTCCAAGAAGCGCGTCAATCCGAAGACATCCGACGAGACCTTGCTCAAAATCTCCGAATGAGTTCTAAGCCTCTTCAGGTGAAGGACAAGGTATTCTACTGGCAGGAAGACAAATCCAAGATTCGTTCCGATGGAAGCGAGGGAGGATATGGCTAAAAGGAAAGGTCATTTCCATTGAAGGAGCGATGGTAGGACTTGATCTTGGGACTCGACTCATCAAGGTTAACATGACGAAGCTCAGGAAGGATGAAACCATCCTCCGGGGAAACCCGGAATTGATCTTCTATTACCAGAAGAGCGAGAATCCTTGCAGAAGGAGCAACCAGGCTCCTCTGCAGATACCAAGAAAAAGGAATCATCCGCACCAGCTCCTAAGCCAAGATCCGCAGTGCCATTACGTATCGCGGGAAAAAACAACTCCAAAACCTGTAGTACCTCATCCAGCAGAGAACAT